TTCCAACAAACCGCCCCATCTTTTCATACTGTCAACACTCATTTGTTTAGACAGCTAATGCTCCACTAGTTTGCTCATTCCATTTGTCTGACCTTACACAACAAACCTGATAAAATACCTGCCAATCTAATCAAGACTACTTCCTTTCCACACATACCTCTAAAGCTGGAGACTACACACTATGGGATGATACATTATTATAGAACGTCATACTGTTGCTTGTACAGCAATTTTAAAATGCAGAACTTCTTCTAAGACATGTCTAAATAAGCAAAAAGATGATACAAAAATAATGAACAAGGGAAGTTTGAGATCATCAATACTTTGGGAAAATCATCATGAAACTGTGAGCTCAGTCTCAAGTGCAAAAAAATAATCATAAATAGGGCTGCGCAATATAACCAGTTTACCGGTATTTACCGGTTCAGACATGAAATCTATACGTATTGTGATACGCTCATCGAAAACCGGTATTTCGACATGCGTTCGGAAACGTTCGGAACACTCGGAAATCTTCGACTATTTCCTTTTTTTCAACCCAGAAGTCAAGTTAAGTTCGGTTTGAAGTGTTCTTAATTTTTGTTCAAGTGTTTAGCAATGTTTTGGATCTGAATGTTTAAATATCTACTCATTAATGACCAGTAATTTCTGATATGTCCTGACCAGGTCAAGTTGCTGTTTAAAATCTCAGGGCTTTTTTGGATAGTTGTAAGTTAATGTTAATGTATGGCACTTACGACTATCTTAGCGTATCTTTTCGCTAAGGGAGCGTTGAGAATCTAGGCCCAGACTAGTAACCACTGTGTTGATGTTAAATTATTCTTTTCCTTGTTTCATTTGTGCCAAATATTATACAGTTTTTATTAAAGTTTAATCAAGCATAGTGATTTTGTTGGGTTTTTGCTTTATAAATCAAGCATTAACCTCGATTTACGCACTGTTCAAAGGTATGATTCCTGCTACACTATGATAGCAATAAGTAGTTCATGTAAAAAATTCTTTCTTGGGGCANGCAATATATTGCAATACATATCACAATACATGCTTTTGCATTGCAATATATCGCAATATGAAAATTCTCTGCAATACCCACCCCTATTCATAAACCCTAACTTGTTTCTTCAATAGATGTAAATGATAATTGTTTACAACGACCAAGGGTTACAGTATGATATTCTCAAAGTACTTAATTACGTAGTAGTGTTTGAAATTTACATCAACATGAAATCAACTCTTACAATGAGCAAACTTTCAACCGATGCAAACCTGATCACCTGATGGCAATAATAAGTCACCATGGGTTGCTGAAGACAAATTCTAACAATTCTTCACAGTGGGTTCTACATGTTGAGAATATACCAGAACAATTTAATCATTTGAGTTTGGCTTGATACTAAGCAAAGTATTTGTTTTACACTGGTGCTCCCTTTTCCTTCCTGCTTAAATTCAATCATTATTAGTACATGTATTACTGTCTGTGATAATTCTGAACAAAAGTTTCAGTGAGTCACAGATACTGAAAAGAAGTAACATGCACACCTATTTACAATTACACCACATACAGGTGAGATGAGGTAAACCGGGGGCAGTCTAGGTAAGTAAGACTCAGCATGGGGCACTCCCTTCCCCTACATCTGGGAGTAGCCTGCTGACATTTGACAAAATACATTTCAGGTCACACTAGATCCTGCTTTCTTTAAACAGGAGAACCCAGCGGCTTCATTGAAACAAATATTGGAAAAGAGCTTACGGATAAGATACAAACTGATTCTGTCAATAAACCCAAAACACTGTAAACTAATTCAGAGTTTCAACTTTGACGCACCAAATGTAGGTTTCAGGTTAAGTAATCCCAAACTGCACAGAAATCTATACACAGCGTATGATTGACAAGCTTGGGTTTATGCCTATGGTAAACAATATTACAGCGTCTGTTAGCATTCCAGAATACATGAGAAATAGATGAAACAAATTATTGTGTATGTTGGGTTACCCTGACACACATTTCCTCAGCAGAATGCTTACATTGTTTTCAGCATGGTGAAGATGTCAGATTTGTTCAAACATATTTCCAAGCCGGAGTTATAAAAATATGTCTCAAAATATGCAGGTTTGTTTCTATAGCATTTGAATATTGGCAACCCATAACTCTGTACCTTTTATCATAAGGGCAATGAAAAAAGACATCTTCAGTTTATGCTTGATTTCAAACATGTTTACGTTTAGTTTCATGCTGCACTCAGCAATATTCCAGCTAATATGGCAGCGGTCTGTAAATAATCGAGTCTGGACCAGACAATTCAGTGATCAACAGCATGAACAACAATCTACGCAACTGGGACATGACAACATGTGTCAACCAAGTCAGCAAGCCTGACCACCTGATCCCTTTGCTCGCCTCTTACGACCAGCATGGCTTACTGAAGATCAATTCTAACAAGGATATTCATCACGTTCATGGGTCCGAACATGTTTACAATCCATATTTGTGTATTACACAAGGATTTTCTGTACATAAGTCAACTTTCAAATGTATACATAACCATTTCTGCATGGATTGTGGTATAGTAATGAAGAGGACTGATCCATCAAGGGTTTTGTTAACTGCTGGCCCTCTGGCCCATGGTTAGCAGAAAAAGCAGAGGGCAGTGTCCAGTGATCTAGGAGATAACTATAGTTCGTTTGGCTCAAAATCGAACCGATGAATTGCAATCTAACTCGAAAACAACTAAACATAGTATACTCAATAAAACACTGATCATAATCAAAACATCAGACCAACTCTATGATTTTTTTGCAAAGTATATGTCCTAAAAATAAAAAAGTTTGTTTAACAAACTATCATTAAAATTTTGACACAGTTCACTATTTGTTACGAGGAGGGGTGCAAAGAGAGGAACAGCCAGGTGTACGAGAAAGGATGGAGACAGCACAGGTAAATGATTCAATAACTTTGTCGGCACATGTGCACGTGCTCCGAGTACACCTGGCTGTTCCTCTTTGCAGTCCTCCCTCGTAACAAAAAGTGAACGTTGTCAAAATTTTAATGATAGCTTGTTAAACAACTTTTTTTATTTTTAGGACATAAATTCTGTAAAAAATCACAGAGTTGGTCTGATGTTTTGATTATGATCAGTGTTTCATTGAGTATTATATGTTTAGTAGTTTTCGAGTTAGATTGCAATTCACCGGTCCGATTTTGAGCCAAACGGACTATAAGAGCTGTATGTTGTAGGCATTGACAAGCAAATTTTCTTGACATCTATATCTGGCATCAACAGAAACAGGCACAAAGAATACTGGATTCATTCATATCGCCCTATGCAAGGAGCAAGTTATTGACAATTTCATTCAATTTGGAAATTTCTTCAAAGTATTCTTATATCTTACACTGTATATAATAAAATATTACAAAACCAAGTATTCTGTTTTCTTTCTCATCCTGTTATAAGTGAAATAGACACACATGCAATGACAAAACATCAGCTACAGGTCATAATAACCGTGATCAAAATAACCTAAATAGGGAAATATTGATTCCAACACGGGAATTTTATGTACACAAACAACTAGATAAATTCCACCATTGTCCATCAAACCATGCACTACGTAACAGTCTTGCCCTTCGTCTAAGAATTAATAAGCAACCACATTAAACATAATCTTTTCATTCAATACGATACCTCTCTCCATAATTTTTTTAGGTCACCTGCATAAAAACAATTGGCTTCACTTCTTAACTAATTAGTAATTTGATTTAGAATTGTTTATTTTAACCAAAAAAGACTAACATTTCTTCCACAGTCCTCAAACACGACCTTTATTGTAAGCATGGAAGGACATGATATTTATCATTTCTAAACAGAGCAGGGTGATTAATGTTGTTCTCAAGAGACAGAATTCAAATGTTCGTTCTGAACCAAAGAATGATTCTCTCATTCGTACCAAAAATTTGCAGCGCTGACTGACTGATTTCAAAGCATTTGTTCTGTAGGCCAACATATTCCTTGAACCCTGCTCATCAGTTCAACTGTCCCCTAAAGCTAAATGGAAAGCATACTGTAGGGATTATCTTTAGAATTTTAATGGAAATGCCCTGGACCCCGTTTCAAAAAGCTCTCGTAAGCCCAAGATCTTGTAACTTTTCTTGCAGCAGTAATACTTCTTATACTATAGCATAGGAAGTACGAATGCTTGGAGAAAAGTTACGAGATCCAAGTCTTACGAGAGCTTTGTGAAACGGGGCCCTGGCATTTTAAAAAATTGTCATTGCTTACTGTCAGAGCTATTTTAGTACTGCATGGACACATCCAATGACCACATGATGAACACATTTGGCTGTTTACTAAAGAGTAACTCTAAAAACTGATGCGACCACCTCCGTGGTGTAGTGGTTAGAGCGTCCGCCTGGAGAGCGGAAGGTCGCGGGTTCGATCCCCGACCACGTCATACCAAAAGACGCTAAAATATGGTACTTGTTGGTCCCTGCCTGGCGTTCGGCATTAATGGGTACAACAAGGACTGGTCAGCTCGGAGTCAGTATAATGTGTCTGAGTGGGGTATTCATGCTTCACTGGGGTGTGGTATCTCAGTGGGCTAGCACTATAAAACCAGCTTAAGTCCGGGCTAGTACAAGCAGCCGCACATACACATACACACGCATGCACGTCGTCATATGAGCGAAATATTCTCAAGCACAACGTTAAACCCAATTTTACCTCACCTAAAAACTGATGCCAAAACTTAAATTTGGACTTTTTTTTATGCAGGACTTTAGCCGTATATTGACCTCTGAAAGAGCCTGGATGAAGCCTCAGAATTAGAACATACTAACCACAAAGCTATCCTTAAGCCAAGACATCAGGAATAACATAAGCGTGTGAGATTATGGGTTAGGGGGGTCCTTGTCATAATCATCATGTTAATAGATAAAGATTTTGGGGGACCCTAGATTCGATTCGGGACCAAGGACTTCCCACTATTTAACAAATCATGCTTACTTTTAGCGACTTCATTTAGCTTAAAGAGAAGGGATCTCTTTGCTGTTTCCAGTTCAGGACTTGGATGATCAAACTCCTGTCGCACCCACTTGTACGGGCTGACTCGGGTCTGTTGTGGAGTTGGAGGCTTTGGTGAAGAATACAGCCTGTAAAACAAGGAAATACAAGACATGTTTATCAATACAACCATTGGAAACCTTCTGAAGATTTACTCACAGAGAGAGTGTAAAATGGAAAGTCATCTCGCATCATACACTAAAGTCATCATGGTCATTGATCTACTGATCTAGATTCTTTAAGTTGTTTTACCGTTTATGCTGCAATATTTTAGTCATGTGATGAAAGACTTAGTATTAACAAATCCTAACTTGTTAAATCTGTTACAAAGACCTGAGTGCACATATGTATGTTGATCTGGGTGAAAATGTGCCAGCGATGTGACAAAACTATTCCAAAAGAGCAGAAGAACCTTATTATAAACATTCACAACTCTTGAATTTGGTAACTGTTCCATGCTCCCGATTTCAAAACCATGATTAGCAATCTTCTGATTAATGATTAAATAAATGCAAAAAATAATATGATGACTTAAAAAAAATGTGTTCAGGGTTAACACTTTGATATTGAAAGTGAACATAATTTAGTAAGATCAAATGTGTGGACCAATTATTCTGTTTACCCAAGAGAAAACAACAAAACTTATGATCCATAGGTTCATTTCACATTTTGGATTCTTCTGATCAACATTAGGCTGTGTATAGATAACAACAAGGAAGGGCTCACTTATGAAAAACAAGTGGGATTGTTATCAACACACAAAATGGGTTGTGTCATTCAGAAAGAGGGATCATGAAAATACTTGATGTTTACTCTCATCATGTCATGTAAGGGTGCTGGTTCAGAAGTGGGGGCGGTGGGGTAGCCTAGTGGTTAAAGCATTGGCTCATCACGCCGACGACCCGGGTTCGAATCCCCACATGGGTACAATGTGTGAAGCCCATTTCTGCTGTCCCCTGCAGTGATATTGCTGGAATATTGCTAAAACTTACTAAAAGCGGCATAAAACCAAACTCAGTCAGTCAGTCAGTGGTTCAGAAGTTTTTAAAAATTAGATTTTTTAAAGCTTAATGCATGTCTCCCTGAAACAATGTCCCACCCATCATGAAAGCAGAGCTGTGATTGACTCTTAAATGTGGTTGTTTGTTGTCCTGTGCATAGCACTCAGGTCACAAATCAGTTGGGAGTTGAGCAAAGTTGGCACGGAGAGTCCTTGGATGGGTGACCGTGTCTTGACACCAGACTTTCTAGGACATCAGTCCTGCCACACTACAAAGCACATGTGATACATGTGGTCTCACCCGAGGCAAGTCAGTTTGTTCAAATTTGCCACTGTTCACCCAGCAGAAAATGGGTACTCAGTGGGATAAGCAATGTGGCTATTAACCTTCTAAAAGTTCTAGCACCTCATAGGCAGCTTGGGTTATCCAAGGTTATAATAATCAGATTGTGCGCTTTGAGCAGGATATGAAGCATGGAAAGGCGCATTACAAATATTCTCAATTAATCAATTTTTATTAAACATGAAAGTCATGGATTGGAGGATGTTTTCAGCTTTTCATCCCAAGATTTGTTATCAATTTCCATCCATCAGAACTCAACTGCCCCTTTAAATACTACTTATTTGTTGTTTGACATGTGGATAGGAATTTTTAACCATGTTGGTATAAGCCAATTGCATGATTTTTTCTACTTGAATAATGTATGCCAATAAAATGCCCTGTTATAAAACTATGGACCCTTCACTAGCAAGTATTATTATTTTTAAAATTATTACAGCATATTTATATAGCGCACATATCCACCCAACTAGTGCATGCTCAAGGCGCTGGTATTACATCAAGTACAGCACATTGATGAATGGTGAATGTCATAAAATAATTCATGTTGAGATCTTTATGTGAAATTCTTTCATATTGTAAATCATGTGCCCAACAGTTGCCTTTCGGTTACAATTCTGCCATTATTGAACAAGACAGGGATTTACCTAGACCTGACCAATATTTTGGCCATAACTGCATCAAATATATCATATATTCCCAAAGTGGGATTAAGTTATAATTTATAAATGAAATACCTAATTGTATGGTTTTGTAGAAATATCCTCTATTACAGTGGTAACGGGACAAAAGAAATAGGAAGAGGTTGTAATCATGTAACAGTTATAACCATTGTTCATTATATGCCTTTTGACAAAAAAACACTTCTTGATATATCCATCAGTTCATTATAACTATAAGTGTGTTCATTTTAAACAGTTTACAGCATTCCTGCACTGAATGCAATCTCAAAATACAAAGTTGATGTAGGCCTTCTTTTGACATGTTTCAATCTTAAAAAACCAAAGCTTTAAATCATCCCAGTTGTGCTTGATTTTCCCCATTGCCTGACAAATGCACTTCGTTTTAAAATCCTATCTCAATGACAAACACTGCATATAACATACATTAAACTGTGTGGTGCACAAATTATTGTCAGGCTAATGTATCTCACTTCTCACACACAAAAATGTGACGGTGGCACATTTGTAACATTTGACACATTTCAAAAGTATGACATTTATTTCAATGGTCAGTATTTTAGGTACATAACATTTGTAGATGATGAACAAAATGTAGGGCTAGAACATTTAACATAATTTTATTTAATCCATCTATGATGATGAATAAATTGGAACAATGTATACACTGCTGAATACAAAATAACAAAGTCACTTAACCAATAAGAGTCTGTTTTCCCAATGATGTAGGGCTGCAAAACATGTGCCATTTTGACAGGGGGGTGTTTTCTTAGACAGTTTCATTATCGAGTTGATGTAGATTCTGCATAGTTTTAGGCTAGTTAGTCACTGTTAGTAGTCAATTGATATTTATACCACTGATTCATTGTTATCAAAATCAACACATTCTACAAGTCAGGCTTCTGCTGGGTGTTACTACACTTAAGAACATGTAACCAATGGGAAAAAAGCTCAGGGGTGTAATCAATCCGGCTCCATCGTCTTCGATAAAATCTTGCAATGACAGTTTTGACAGATGACAGCTCGAAACAAAAGCTAGAAAATCTCACCATGTATCTTCTTCCTCCCTGAGAGACAGAATGTCCACGTCTATTATGTCGTCTTCGGATTCTCCTGACGACGATCTACACTTCCGTTGTGTACGCTCCAAGTCATTATTAGATATATTATTGTTGTGGATAGAAACTTTATCAGTGGGAACATCTCCATTTTGCAGAGAATTGTCTAGCGGTAGTTTTTGCTTGTTCCTCAACACCTCGTTTTGAAGTTCAAGCTTCTTTACAAGGTCCTGAAGCTTTTTCACTTCCGCTTGGGGATCGATCATAGTATCCGTAGAGTCCATCGTTACTCTTACTCGCTACTTATAATCACAATATACAAAAATTACTTCACGACATATCTCATCGCACTTGACGCCATATTTACACCTTATAACGCATGCGCTGTAATACTTCCGCATGAAAATTTCGTATACTACCTTCTTCCAACACCTTCCAAATGTCCACAGGCATCTGCTAGACAACTGCAGCAGGAGGTTGTCGTCTAAAATCACACCTGACTTTAAAACCGTTACTTTGAGGTCTTCTGCAAGAAAACATTTAGTATAGACGTACTTACGTTGGCTTTAATACCCTTTATATTCAGACTACATTTATTTCATTTCTTAGGTTACACATTTCTGAACATTATAAAAATCAAATAAGGATCTTTTCTGTTGTTTTTCGACACATTCAGTAATAGATGTACATTTCTGATATTACCAAATGTTTAGAAAGGCTTTTTGAAACACCCGGAACTGACTGCACGTATATACATAGAAACGATAACTTCAAAAGTATACTGTGATATTCCAAACAAGGTGAGGTGACATGGGGTTTAACGTCATACTTGAGAATAATTTTGCTCATATGACGACGTGCATGCGTGTGTATGTGCGGCTGCTTGTATTAGCCCACACTTGAGCTGGTTTTATAGTGCTAGCTCACTGAGATACCATGCCTCAGTTAAGCATGAATACCCCACTCAGACACAGTATACTGCCTCCGAGCCGACCAGTCCTTGTTGTGCCGAGCGCCAGGCAGGGACCAACAAGTACCACATTTTAACGTCTTTTGGTATGACGCGGCCGGGCCTGACAATAACGTTAACACAACGTATGATAAATTACATTATTGGGCGAATATTCTCAGTTCCAGTTTGAAGTCTTTAGACCTCTATTCAAATATATCAATATATCATACGAACCCTTTTTAGCAATTATTAGTTGTTGTTCTTCAAATATACCTGCTTTATATTTTGATGGAGATGTTGAATACCAAAACAACCAAGCATCATACAAAATGGCATTTTTCTAAATTGTTTTCGAGCATAAAGCAATGTACTTTTGTACAATATTTAGCGAATAGACAAGTCACAGGATGATGATGTTTGAACTTTGCACGTTTTGTAAAAAAAAGACCAAGAGAAGAGGTCGTGTTCTTCTCTCACAGAAGAAATGCGAGTTTGTTTAAACACGAGACCGAAAATATATAATGCTTAGGGACCGTTCATATTTTATTTTTGGTTAGGGGGGCGATGATGATTTCTATTGAGAAGCATGTACAACGTGAAAGCCCCCCCCCCTCCTAAAGTTTATGTACAAAGTAAGTGACCCTCCACCCTTGCATGTCATGTTCAAATCAATGACAACCCCCATGATGTTTAAGCATGATTTATTAATATATCTATGTACAAAATTGCTGCCCCTGCCCCCTCCAAATACATGGGTATGAAATTGATGACCCCTACCTCCCCACAGCAAAATGGTTGAACCCCTCCCCTTAAAAATCATCACACACACACACATAAATTATGAACAGTCTCTTACAACAACATGTTATATTTGTCTTAAGGGCTGCGCTAACGACAACACCGCAATTTTGAACAGAAATTTGTCAGTTTCTTTAAGATACTACAATTGATGTTCGTTAGACATGTATTTCTGTTTTCAATTTCAGAGCTTGTATCAAATGATAGAAACAGTTAAGTGAAGGATACAGAACATTTAAGGATTCCAACATTAAACATGAAATAATTACACTCTATCTATACATTATGTTTTAGTTAGTATATATGGTCCTGAATTTGAGTGAGGATATACGTCGTGGGGTCTCAGTTGAAATTATAGATTTCGTCGCTAAAGCACCAGCAACATCCCCCAATAGTTGTTAGGGAAATGTAACGATAAGCCAACGTGACCTGTGACCTACGATTCAGACGACAAAATGCGGATAAGAGGAGTTCTCAAAATAGCCAAACTACGCAAACGGCTCCACTTTCAGAACAAATATAACTCAAGTGAGAAATTTGAGGTGTTCGAAAAACCTCTCTAGCACTTTTGCATACTCGCCAAATTGAAAGCATTTTAGGTTTTCTCGGGAGGTAGTCTGCAAATGCCCCCAAGCCCTTCACTAATCAAAACCTCTCAGGTGACTCATCATTGCTCAAGTCGTTGTGTTCAGAATATTTGATAATTTCAGACCACCACTTCAGCATAAAAACCAACAACTCCAGCCTGATGAATGACATATTGTAACGCTGACGACTTATTAATGCATCTTGCGAAGATAGATACTGTGATATTTTATGGTCGATAATTATTTACGAGATTTTATTTTATTGTATGTTCTTTTTATGTTTAGTCCGCACCTCTATCTATTCACCGACATCAAGAGAGAGATGTAGTTTTCTTATCTGATAAAACATCAAATCCATTTGAAACTATATATTTGTGATAATACTAGACGATATACATCAAGACATTTCTGCACTTCTTTACCTTACGGAGAGTATTTAGAGCGCACATGTTACTGTGTGACCTTGCACAACACAGGTAATTAAGATTCTCGTGGTGAAGTGGTGTTGGTTCTGCTCGTACCTGCTACATGTAACGCTTGAACTGTCTATCCCGCTGTGAACAGGTGTCAACATGGTGATGTGACTAGCTTTCCCCATCTATACTGTGTGTACACTGCAGTACAGGAAAGGCCTGCAGAGACGACCGGAGAATTGTAAATATGTGACGCTCATTACTGTATAGACTAACGCTTATTCTCAGAATATATATAATTTTGATAGTAACAAATGATCCCATTTAAACTGAAAAGGAGTCGTATATTGTTCCAGCGTCCAGCTGCAGCTGGGATGAGAGAATACATTCCACCGGCACGTTGTGTTCATGAATGTCATGTCAATCAAATTGTGAGTGGCGTCATAGTCATTGGCGGATCCAGATGTGGGGATGGGGGTTTCAGGGGTTCGAAAACCCCAATCCCAATCAATGTTTTGAATTGACGGAGCGGGGGGATGTCAGGGCGTTCGAAACTCCCCACCCCTTTGAAAATTCCTGGATCCGCCTATTATAGTTGTTTATCATTATGTTTTACGTCGCATTCCAAGTTCATCAAATGGAACACATGTGAAAATATTCTCACTGTTCACTAAATCATATTAACTGTACAGATGTAGGTAATATGTAGACCATAACATAAACAGCATATCCGACGACACAAGTAAATTTCACGAAACCATGGTCCATTTGCGTCCATATTACAAAAAGTGTTACAAAATGGTTGAAAATAAATCTCCCAAACACAGCCAAAACAATTTTATGCGTGATGTATATGCTATATACAAGGATCAGTGGATCTTAAGGTTGAAATAAAGCTTTGGTTGCACTTGCAGCATGCCAACCCCCGCATACATGTGCACATACGAATGATGTACTTTTCATTCACACCCATCCCGATGGACCTGACAAATAGCTGCTAAGGTTAAAGATACACAGAAAGAACAAGTCGTTAGTACTGTACGATACAGTGCATATCGTAACGTGCATGCAGTGGCCAATGAGGTTTAGTTTTAGCCGAATGATCGTCGCACGTTTTCAGCCAGATAACAATATGCTATACATACGTGCCATGACCAGCTCAATCAATAGACAAGGCACCAAGAGAACAATTGGAGTGTAACCAAATCGCCCTTGGCGCAAGGATCACACAGCGCTACGAATGATGTAGGTCTACGTTTAACCATGGGAGTTACGACATTCGTTGTACGTTGAAATTGCTTCGTGAAACGGTGCGAGTAAGCATCTAGAAGAATGGCGTCCAGTCCCATTTCTTGAGATATTGTCTCTATTGACCCGGGATAGGTTGGGGACGTGCATTGGTACATTGTCTCTATGTTAAAGATCTGCCCTTGCTTATGAAATACTCTTTGGTGAGGGTGGCCATGTTTCGTCAAGAATATTTGGGATGTTTGTCTTCTTTATGTTTTTTTAGGCTGAGCATTTTGTTTTCAACAGATGGAAGGCTGCATGACATTTCTATTGAAACCAAATGTTTGTGAGGAACAACATCAACTTCCCCTATCCGAAAAAATCACATGGTGCGCCCCTAATGGAATGAGACCTTCATTATGCGTGCTGTCAACCGATCATATATACTGACGGTCGAAAGAAAGTATACACCCAGGTTTGGTCGAGGGTGGCTTAAATGAATCAAACTGGGAAAAGCTATGATATGGTTATGTATCTGACAGGGCATCATGGCTGTTTTTAGGACTTTAAGTTTGTAAGTGTATACTTTCTTACTGCTGACTAAAACAACACACGGACATTCTGGCAGTTAATGATTATTCAATGTTACACATCACATACGTTCGATTATTAATATGTGACTTTCCTGAATCAAACTACGTTACTACATTCACTGGAAGCGGTGTTGACGAGATTCAACGTGAGTAAGGCAGTGTTAATCATTGATAACTTAGGGCAGTATACCCGAAATAGCCCCCAGGGCAGGGCACTGAGGTCCCAGCGGTATCTGTAAACGCCGTTTAACACCTCCTTACGCCGCTTGATGTTACGTTTGTGCGAGGGTGTCTGACCTTGTATTATGTTATGCAATACATCTACGTAACCTGGTCAACATTGTCACATACAGCTAGACAGGCCCAGATCATCGACATGAGCTGACGGTATGGCTCGGCTTCGGCTACGACCGCCGCCTCATCGCTTACTTCGACTACTAACAATTACTGTCTCCTGGTGTCCGCGCCCAGTTGCCAATGTGTTAATATTAGTTGAAAAATGTGATGGTATCACTTTGAAGGGGTGATGCTGAAATAGGGTGAATGGTTTATTATATATTTGGGGTCTAAAAGCGAGATTGTGGCTCTCTCTGCGCGATAATGTAACCAGGTTCCTGGTTTAGACGGGCGAACTATAATATTTACTAATCAATCTTTGATACAGAAAATCAGTAAGTTTAATCTGAAGATGATCATGTGCAAAAGTGGAGAATATGTTATACACTACCGATGATTGAGTAAAGCAATTAATTACACACGTTTGTCTAAACTGATTTACGCTACCACCGATTTGTGGAATCAGAACAGGAGCCTTATTATGTTTGAGTTTGTAGACGATGTAAGACGCTGTTTGAAGGGTCTCTTTCAAACTTGCCACATTGCAACGACTGTAGCATGTTACTTTATGCTGGTGGTTCACGTTATGCTGAAACAATACAGGTCTTTCAGTAAACGCAACGTTTACTATATATCCAATTTAATATTGCGATGACCTTCTGATGAAGGGTTGGTGGTTGTCATGACCGATATATGTCGCCTATTATCGTAACAGGCGAATAACGGGATCGGGTGGTCAGGCTCATTGACTTGCCATGTTTTTTTTTTATTTCATCGTACCCCAATTGCGTAGATCGAAGATGTTGATCACTGATTTGTCTGGTCCAGACTCGATTATTTACACACTGGCGTCAGCTGGACTATTGCTGAGTGCAGCGTTAAACAACAAACAAACAATACATTAGTAAGGACATCAGTGCACTCACTTTCACTGGGCAGTATAGTATATGTTTTGCTTAATGCTGATTGGCTATTTCACACCAATTGTGTCATTGTTCGACAAGCATCTCATTGCAACATGGTGTCGTATTAACCACACTGTCGCAAGCAAATACGGATTCATTGTTAGTGACGTCAGAGTCGTAGTAAGTGATCTCGTGCTAAATTTACCCACTCTGAGATGACGTCTCCACTTTTATCATGTGTGCTGATCTTACTCATACAATGACAATAAAAAGATAGCAAATGATACAAATATGTCGTATCTGTGCTTGAAGAAAGAAGGGAAACAGAATTTGGATTCTGTTAATTTTCTCGGATTGATATTGTTTAAAATTAATTAAACAAAATAGGAAGTGCACAACAAAATAGAATATGTTTATGTGTCTAGTGAAATGTGAGTTACATGTATGTGAAAAACATGATATTTTCATCATATATATAACTTGGAATTAACCTTGTTGAAACTGCGAACAATTATCTGTGGAGTTGCGTCCCTTGAGCGTGCCAGACTAGTATGAATAATGTCAGATTCTCCCTGAACATGTTTAAAGGATTTCTGCAAGACACCTTTTTTTCTAAGTGGCAGATCTCCACTCACTGCATCACTTCGGATTTCTTCCCACACCAACCTCTTATAGGGATGTAACTAAAATACAGTTCAGGACTATGTATAGTCCAAATCGCACACACTAGATGGGGCATTTTTCTTAATTATTATGCAATAATAATCAGTCTTCCATATTACATGTGACAATACTAAAAAACGTGGAGTCATTGTCAGTGACATGGGTAGGGTTACCCTATAAAGCATATCATCATTCTGTTAGCATTCATGCGGCTATCCGAACACTAGCTGTCTGACAAGTAGCATGTATTGTACCATGGTTCGGTGATCAAAGCCGTGAGAAAGTTTGAGATACTGTTACTACAGAATGACAATGACGAAAATGCATGATGTTAGTCATGGCTTTCTGACGTCGTGTGTGGCGTTGCGGCTTTATGTGTCAGCAATTTGCTGCTTTCGGTTCATATTGATCATGTGAGAAAGTATATGGTCAGCGTTTAAAATTCCCGCCTGCCTGACCGTCCGGAACGGTCTATTTTCATCTCGGACGGTCAAATTTCAAAAGTAGCCTGTCCGGTGGTCTGGTAGATGTTTTTACCCCTAACAGTAAATATTTCATAATATCAGACAGGTTCTCTTGTCGTCAGTTTGAGGTGTTTAAGGTATTATGATAATTATGTTAAACTATTTAAGATTGGACAGTTCATTTTGCAATAACCAATCACAACACATGTACTTTCAGTTTACCTAAACTCAGTGCATTGCCTGTTAGTGCTATGATGTTCATTACGATGCCTACAAACAGTAAAGTATTCAGAAACCTGATTTATTTATTTTTGTCATTGTTGAAAACCGGACAGGCAAGTTACCAGTCCGGCTGTCTGGCTTGGAATTTTGTGAGTTTTAAACACTGATATAGTCTATTGCTGAATGTACACCATTGTATTCAGGTAAACGATACATGTGCTTAGTAGAACCTGCATCGTTCGATACTGTTGCTATCCGATGACAAGGTGATATCTGGACGAGCTACATCTGCCCTGATTTGCGTGAATTAAGAGATATCATATCAGTGAATTCAAAATGTTGTCTACATCTGTTATTACCCATCGTGTTAGATATAACCAAGTTCACAATTATCATTCACAAGTGCAAATGTTACAGACTCAAGTGAAGATCACACAGCCAGAGACAGCATATATAGCATTGATGATGTCACATTGACGCTGTTAATATAAGGAAGTTACGACTCATTCAGTGCAGCCAAAGATTAATGTGTATTGCAAAGGTATATATATTCTCGTGAATATCCTACTAAATTTATGAAACTCCAATCCCAACGGACGAGCGTTTTTGTCTCTAAAGGGCGGTAACTCTCCTTTTGAAATGACCTCATACGATCTAAACTATCGTTTTAGGTTTGGTGCAAAACTTGTATGGAGTTGCGTCCCTTTGAAATATTTACGTCATACAAGCCATTGCGCCCCGCCAAAAAGGAAGACACATGCCAATCACACATTCTGTCGACATTGTTTTCTGGCGCTTTTTTTCTGGCTCTATTTGATGTCTCACGAGCTGTATAAAATTTAAAATTCTTGTGTTTGAAATAAATTCTGTGATACAGTGATCAGTTTCTGGTGGTGGTATAACACCAAAAGTTACTTTTGAATAGTGCTGCGTGCAATAGTTTGCTAAACATCACATGTGATCCTCAAGATTCACAGACCGCCTCCGTGGTGAAAGGCCATTTGCCTGGAGAGAGTAAGGTTGGTGGTTCGAAACCCGAATGCGTCAAGACTAATGACGTTAATATATGGGACTTGTTGTTTCCCTGGCTGTGTCTCATGCGGATAGGACATGTAGGTGTCTTTGAGGGGAATCCTTGTTACAATGCAGCATGGTATCTCACTGTAAGACGGGCATGTCCTCACTGTAAAACGGGCATGTCCTCACTGTAAAACGGGTAAGTACCTGCAGCCACACACCAGACCGCTCTCACGATCATGCATGTCACTATCTCAGAAGGGCGGTGGGATAGCCTTGGGGTTAAAGCATTCGCTCGTCACGCCGAAGATACGGGTTCGGTTCCCAACATGGATACAATTCTGGTGTCCCCCGCCGTGATATTGCTGGAATATTGCGGCGTAAAAACATGCTCACGCACTTACGCTATGCCAGCGCAATGTTCTCGAAAGCTAGGTTAAACCCATGGCATTTTCATCTCACCCCACATTCTACATCCACAGACTGAATGCAATACCTACACTGTCGGTATTATTCCCCATTTGGTGTGTCATCGTTCTCCGAAGTCATGAATAGATAGATGGTCACGTTTTTCTCCGATTTGTTTGATCCTCTTACAGGAATAGCCATGGCTGCGGCGTCATAAAACATTCGTTCTTTCAAGCTATACCAAAGCCTCTGTATGTCGCCAGGGTGTTATATATATCATGACCCCTCGGGTTATGCAACTCACGTTAACGTTTGATATGTGGTTTATATATTAATTGTTGGTTTTAAAAATCCCCTCCCCATCCTAAGATCCTCCAGTTTGCTCTTCAGTGAACTGACGTGCAAGACTGAACCTGTTGCCGTTGTGGCGACATGTCAGGATGTCCAGAAGTTCCAGGCGTTGTAGCCTAGTGGTTAAAGCGTTTGCTCGTCAGACCGAATTCCAACATGGTTAAACTGTTTGAAACATATTTCTGGTGTCCCCCGTCGTGATATTGCTGGAATATTACCAAAATCAGCGTAAAACCATACTCGCTCATTAATAAAGTTGTTCTTGTCTCTTTGCGTTATATACTTCCAGAGCATCGCCTAAATCGTTAAAGGTCACGTGATCCTCTTCTATGGCTCAAGATACATTGTCCTGATTTACAAACCCCATTCAGACTGACATGCCCATATAGGTATCCCAGTATACGTGTGAATGAGCGATGGATTGAGTGAAGTTTTTCGCTTCTTTTTTAGCAAAATTCCAGCGATATCAGAAATGAGTCTCAAACAATATAAACATTGGAGAAATGGTACCGTGAAAAGCGAGTCACTAGACTATTGCGAAACGCACTATATACACGTGTGTGTGTGTACGAGTATGTATGTATGTTGCAGAATTTTTTTTTCGATGGTCATCTGTTAAATCTGCATGTTACGATTTCGCGTTGTTGTCAGCTGGTTACTCACGTTTACATAAGCGGTTTTAACGAACATTGTTTGGCTAGGTATGTTTTCACGTTTGAGTAGAGAACTGTTCCCTAAAGTAAATCAATAGAGGTACTCGTTAGTCTGGTTCAAGATGTAGTCTCATGGGCGCACCAGACACAATGCTGCGAATGTCACAGTGGTTCTCAAACAATATGTACCCCTCAAAGCGTGGCATGTCCTTGCCCTTAGATTCATAAACGTGAATTTTAATAGGTGACGTCAGTGTTTTAGATGAATTTTGCAAGGTTCTTCTACAAGATGCAATGGTGACAGTGACAGGGGAAGATGGTCATCTGGAAAATTACCGAAGTTATTTTTATAGATATGTGACAATTATCAAAGAACTTTCCTGACCCCACCCAAATTAAATGTTATGCAAATTATATGCTAATGAGGTACAACTTGCATAAATTATGCTAATGAGATTCATTTTGACGTGGTCACGTGACACATTGTTCGCCGCCATGTTTCCAGAGAGCAAATCCGGCAGACTTGCATAGCTCATGTGAACTTGGAACCGATGTGTCAGTCAGCCGTATTTCTCAATCAAGTAAGCCAGACAGCTGAACCGGATCCCATAGATAGCGAACCAAGAGCTACTGCGAGTTTAAATCCACTAATGATTGTCAGGGCGAGCGGCTTTGCGAAACTTGATTTTCGCGGAAAACCTTGCCGTCACACTGTAAACAAGTTCCGGTATAAAAGCATTGCCTCGCACTCGATACACTGCTATTTACAGCGGCTGTGGCTTTTTGTAGTGGAGATTGTTGATTTGATCCTACGTTACACGACATTTTGTCCGCAATTTAGGCAAGATAACTGCGAAAAGGAAAAGAAACCCGCCATAGAATTTTTTGATCGCGCATGTCTGTTTGTAAACTTCCGGTTTAGTTTTTCATTCTTGGAGCGAAAATAGGTATTCATCGTCTGTTGTTATTCATTGAATTGATAAAAATGCGTAATTTAATCTTGAACCACGTGCAGTGTCTGTACACAGAGTACTGTTTTGTATAAATTTCGCTTCCTCATGCTGATTCTAAAGATTGATCATTTTCTGTTAGTTGATTTCATTCGAAATCACTGTCGCGAGATAATTTCTCGACGACTAGTACTACAACAGCAGCATGCTAAACTGTTTGCACTGTGTTCTCGTTCAAAACGTGATTGCTATGTTTATGGATTTCTCAAAATCAATGATTTCAGTAAGCTGAAAAGCGCATGATTGAAATATGTCCACAGGCAGTGATAGTGATAGAGCTCAAGTTTGATTGAGACAATGAAGTAAAATCGAATGAACTACCAAGTATTAAGCCACCAAGTTGGGTAAATAGATGGAAAGACTTACGCCCGTATCCCCCTAAATTTCATTCTTGTCAAATCATATTTCCTGAATATATATTCCCAATCTGATAAGGATGAGTTTTAACATGTGTCTTTAATTGTATCTAAACATACTGGGTGACATATTCAACTTCTAAAATGCCACTCAAAGAAATTTTTCTTTATCGTTAAAATCCTGGGGGGGATACGGGCGGAAGTCTTACCCATCAACTATTGTGATTTCTACAATCAGACATGACCAAGTCAAGTTAAAATAAGGACTCATCTTTTGACAAATAGCAGTTGCAGTGGTCAACAAAATATAATGTAACATGATAGTGTTATTGTCACAAATAGGTTAAAAATATTATGTGAGAAAAGAACGGGGAATGACAGTATCTCTAAATGTTTTTCATGCAGATTTTGTGTCAATCTTATACATTTGTTGATTTTCTTTTGCAGGTAAAGCAATATGACTTGAAAAGGTGAAGGCTTCAGGTTTGACCGTTAACAGCTACAATGGAGGTAAAGGCGGTCTTTCAGTACATTTTACACTCATAAAGTTATGTATTTTTATTATGCAGTTCACATGTGGAGTAGTAGATTTGGTTTTGAACATCATTTTTATGTACATACCACTGTATTTTATGATCTTTGTCTTGTTGTTTGAAAGTGTAAACATTGAGTGAGTAAGTGAGTGAGTTTAGTTTTACGCCACTTTTAGCAATATTCCATCAATATCATGGCGAGGGACACCGGAAATGGGCTTCACACATTATACCCATGTGGGGAATCATACCCAGGTCTTCTGCGTGACAAACGAGTACATTAACCACTAGGCTACCCCACCACCCAAACATTGAGTGAAAAAGAGGTTGTAGGGACAGCAATATTAAACACTGTGCCAAGTTCTGATATGAGCTCCCCTGTGTATTGAATGTTTCTAATAGTTGTTCATAGTTCACAGTAAAGTTTAAAACAATCAAAGAATATGCTACTAAGTAAATCCTTTAGATATCTTTGAAAGCATGCATATTGTGCTTCAGTCAGTATTTGACGAGATTGAGTCGTGGGATAAAACCCCACACAGTCTGGATTACTCACAACATCAATCACTGCATTGTCTGGTTTTCATTACATTGCTTCTAAAAGAACTCCCATGAATTATCACGAATCAGGCTTACAGATGCTTCATGTAATATGCATCCTTTCAGGAATACACAAAAATGTTTCTGTTTCTTCTTGAAAAATTCTTTTAACGCTGCAAATTCTTACACACTCTCAGGGTATGTTTTAATGTTCGACAAACTTCCTCGTTCCAATATTCTTTCGGGAAGCTGTATTCATGCTTCCCTTTGAAGAGAAGGTTGGATGACCCTTAAAATACAGGATCACTGCAGCTCAAGCATGTTGATTTCACCGTTTAATTTTTGCTCAATTCAGAGACATATTTCATTTTGCAGGGCTCAAGCTCAAAAGGCTCCTCAAAGAGGTAAGTGCATAAACATTAGCCCAGTTATGATTCACACAAATATTCAGTGAACCGCATCACATCCCTCCATATTAAAACAGTGTTTTTCACTTGGAACTGGTCTGATATTATCAAAGTGTGATGCTCAAAATGGAATATACAAGCCATGCAATAGAGTAACTTGTGCCATGATACTGTCATTAGGCTATAAGCATCATTATCCCCCGCCGCGCGTTTAGCTCGAAGTGATGATATAGTATTAGGCTCCGTCCATATGTATGTATGTACGTCCGTACGTATGAATTGGAATATCTTAAGAACCGTTCACTAGATTCTTTTCATATTTGGTACCTGGGTTCATCACACTATAATAAAGGCTCAAGTAAGGTTTGGTGACCTTGACCTTCATTTCAAGGTCACAAGGGGACTTTCACGTTTTACATGCATGTTAAGCTATCTCAAGAACCTTTCACTGGATTTTCTTCATATTCAATACCAAGCTTTATCCAGGGAAGGCGCAGGGCCCAGTCAATTTGGTGACCTTCACTTAATTTTCAAGGTCACAGAGACACTTTGAAGATTTCAGCATATTAAACTTACATGTTATGCTTGTCAGCGAGATACCTCAAGAACCATTCACTAGAGTTTCTTCATATTTGACACCAAGCTTCATCCAGGGAAGGTGCAGGGTCCAGTCGATTTTGGTGACCTTCACTTAAGTTTCAAGTTCACAGAGACACTTTGTAGATTTCAGCATGTTAAATTGCTTGTTAAGATAGTCAGCAAGATATCGCAAAAATATTCAGTGGATTTGTCTTCATATTTAATCTAGGGAAGGCCCAGGGCCCAGTCAATTTTGGTGACCTTCACATAATTTGTAGGGTCACGACGACACTATGAAGATATCAGAATGTTAACCTGAATTGTCAGCAAGATATTTTAAGAACGGTTCACTGGATTTTCTTCATAGACTTTATAAGACCTCCCTTGAATGTTTTTCAATAAGCAATTTCTTTAGTACTAGTCTTGCATATTTCATACACTATGACATTCATGTCAAGGTCAAAGTCAGTCTTGAAAATATGTGTGTGTTTGAACAACTAAAGAGCAAGATAATGTTTTTGTTGACATTTAACTTCATCTTAAACTTTCATTACTTTATAAGTTTGATTTGATAATTTGCGGTGGGGGATTATGTCACATTAGTGACAATGCTTGTTATCTGATGTATTTACAAAAAGTCATTGAAATGTTTCAACCAAAACAAATGCATATTTAATTTGTTAAGCATAAAGTATTCATGAATAAATATTTGTATTCGTTGCCCTATAATTGGAACTATATCATATTGGTCTCAAAGTGTATTCATTGCAGCCTTAATAAACATTTAGAATTTTAATTCAATCATAAAACTTAGTGGGTAGTCCTAGTCGATAGTCACATTGTTGTCATCTAATAGTAACTATATATTAATATAATGTGTCCCTTTTGTTTTTGGTTTTCTGAGATCTGTTAACATCTTTTTTCTTTCCAGGAAACCAGCTTTTACCATGAAGATAAAAGTGCAGAGCAAGAAGAAACAAGAGAGCGAATCTGACAATGATGACTATGAGTCTGATTATTCCAAGAGGAAATCTGGATCAAAGAGAGACAACTCTGACTATTCAGATGCGGAGTCCATACCTGATTTGCCCGAAGGTAAGCAACTCACTGAAAGACACAAACTGTTTACTGTGACAATCTTTAACATAAGTAAACACCCATATGAATTTGACATTATTTTCAGTGTTGTAAGCACAGTTGGAAGTTTTGTATTGAAGACCTACTGAAAATGATTTGAAAATGAAATGAAGTAAGATATTTTCACCAACTGCATTTTCAAGGATGACGACTTCTTTCTGATGATTTATCTGGATCTTGAATTTCAGGTACTGTTGTTGTTAAACCAGAACCTGTTAAAGAAAAGAAAATACGGTTTAGTGGACCAGAATTTTCCAAAGGTAATTGTTTCACCAAAGTTTATACATATTCAGAATAATTTCTGATTGTATTTTTGCACATGCAGTAAATACAGCATTCTGTCATGAAGGGATTAGGAATTTATGGTTTTCAGATTTTCATTAAGTAATTAATTTGATCAGATGTCATGAAATGATACATGATACTATGGCAGCATCTGTTACCTACATGATGTACACTGGATATCTGCATCATACTGCCATTGGTAGATTAACCATGATCAGTGTCGGTCCTTGTTACCCCAGAATTGCAGGGGGATCTAGTGACATCTGGCAATGATGTTACTGGAATTTGTTGTGTTGAGGCAGTATATCACCCAAATGTTGGTCAGTATTGTGACAAATCTTTCCAGTACCAGACAACCTGGACATCGTCAACTGCACATCCTGTGGGAGACAGATCAACCCTAATGTATCTGGAGCTGCAAAACGACACCCAGAATTGAAAGTCCTAGTTTGCAGGGTAATGTCTTTGTTTACTCACCAAACACAAATGCTTTAAGAATTCCCACAATTTTGGCAACATATGCACTTCAACTTAGTAAAGGACCAGTATAATATTCACCCGTTAAGATCCGGGTTAGAATGAACCTTCAGTAATCCATGCTTGTCGTAAGAGGCGACTAATGGGATCGGGTGGTCAGGCTCGCCGACCTGGTTGACCCACATGTCATCAGTTCCCATTTGCGCAGATCGATGCTCATGCTGTTAATCACTGGGTTGTCTGGTCCAGACTCGATTATTTACAGACTGCCGTCATATAGCTGGAATATTGCTGAGTGCGGCATCAAACTAAACTCACTCACACTAGTATATTATTGGAATTAGATTGCCATTAATCAGTTAAAGGCAACATTGAGAGATTTTTCTGTGCATTGGTATTTTATAGATAGTGTACTGTCACAAGTTCTCTATCTTATCAAATTTAATCACAGATAGTATGTGTTGCATGAACATTTTCTAAATGTGGTGTCAACAGTACATGTGTCCAGATTGAGACTTCTCGATGGTAGATAATCTGATATGAGTGAAATGTTTGGCATTGGCCGATCATTGGCGGATATTTTGTCAGTCGGTTAAACTGAGGTCTGTGGAATCCCATATTTATGAATTTCACTGATAAAAAGCCAAAAGTGCTTGGTGTAGTCTTATGTAAAACCTTGTTTTGGTGGCCACCAAATCTATACAGTTGCAGTTTGTTCCTTTCAATCATTAAAATAATCTTATGGCATTTCATGTAGAAGGAATAGAATCTATTGGAAAGAATGCATAGGACAAACTTTGGTAGATCAGTTTGTAAATGTCTGTGTCTTCAGCAATCCATGTTTGTCGTAAGAGGCAACTAATCTGATCAGGTGGTCAGGCTTGCTGACTCATTATGATGTTCATGTCACTGGATTGTCTGGTAGAGACTGAGTTATTTAATGACAGCCGTCATAGTTCAAACTAGGAATGTGTAGTGTCTAAGGCTGTAACGATTCACTCGCATATTCGGTGAATCGAACCGTAGCCCTTCATGAATTCAATTCGTTATTCGTGGTCACCAGAACCGAATATTCATGAATATTTACAATTTTTAAGGGAGTGTGTTTTACTTGAACCCTTATGTCCTTTTTCAAAATGAGATATGCAAGAATGCATTATGTACTAGCCTTGTAGTAGCGCAAGTCATGTTAGTTTGCCAAGGCCGCACATGGTACTGTCAACTTAACTATTACATACCAAATTTGAGTGTCATGAGATGACTGGTTATTGCCTGGACAAATTAACACTGTCAACATGGGCATTCAGTATTGTGCATCAGTCACTTAACTACAATATTGTATTCATGAATAATTATTGGTATTCGTTACCAAATATTCGTTGATACGTATCATTGGCAACATAGTGTATTCGTTACAGCCCTAGTAGTGTCATTGGCTGCAGATGTGAGTCCCTAGTTTGGCCTCTGAACAGGTGTAGATACCTCCCTTTATGTGTAATCATATCCTGTACATGTGTTCCAGAAATGTTACGGCTACTATCGCAGTGGGAAGATCGAGCAGGACGAGGATGGACTGGATGAACAGTGTCGATGGTGTGGGGAGGGAGGAAGGCTACTCGGTTGCGATCACTGTCACAATGCCTTCTGCAAGTCTTGTATCATCAGGAACTTCAGCCGGGCGGAACTCACCACAGTCATGGCTGATGGTAAAAGCTGGGAGGATGGTTTTTTGTGATGATAGTGTTTATTGAAGAATGAAATCAAAACGACCAGCCTATTGTGTTGGGATAGTAGATTTGTAAATAACACATATACTTTCTAGTAGTGGTAACAAGACAGAGGAGATCCTGTACTGTTCCATAATTGTATTTATAATCCCTCTATTTTCAAACACTGTAAACTCTACATTAATTTATTCATTTCCAGATGGATCCAAGTGGAAGTGCTATGTGTGCGACTCATCTAAACTGAAGAAATTGTTACGAGAATGTGACTCTTTGTTCAAAAAGATTGATAAGGAAAAGCTGAAAGCCAAGATGCAGAGCAGTATAGACTTGAAGAAATCAAGCAGTAGCAAGCCTCAGAAAGCAACGGGTAAATCTATGAGTAGTAAAGAGCATGTCACCAGTAAAACACATAAAAATTTAGTGTCATTCGCCAATTTCACACTAGGTTCATCAAATGTTGTTAACATTTCTACCCAACTGTTAGGGTTATCAGCTGGCTTTCATACAATGCTGGAAGTTTTAAACGTTGATCTTAATACTTCGGGGGATGTTAAAAATAGCAGTAGAGAGGCTAATAGTAAGAAGGACCATGGTGCCAAAACCCTGGAGACTGGCCTCAAGGAATTCCTCAGGTCTCTCAATACAGTCTTGTGTGATGCCTTGAAAGCAAAGGAAAAAGCCCCAATCGAAAACGGCGAAACCACAGAGGATGAAGGTGTACTTTCCAATGGACACATTTCTCTAAGTGATGATGATAATAGTTCCGACCTCTCACAGCAGGAGATAAAGGTCAGTTGGAAAAGTACTAGTGAAGGTCGACAGGTCAAAAAGGGGTCAAAACCAGAGGAACGATCTCCCACTAAATACAGGGATGGAAAGAAGGACCAGTCAAAGTCTCCATTAAGGAAGGAATCCAAAATGGACGTCAGTGTAGATAATGATGTTTTCTCAAATGAAGTCTGTGATGTAGACGATGATGATACGGATGACTTCGATGTCCCAGTCACGTTTGGACCAACTGATGGGGCAGGGGACGGCCATACAGTAAGTAAAGACCAGAACACTGAACCTGAATCAGACAAATCTGAAAGCCAAACAAAGGATGATAATGACAGTGTTAAGGGCTCAAGGCCTCTTAGTGAAACTGAAAATGAGGCAGCGCCAGTTGGAATTGCTGAAGGAGTTAGCAGAGGAAATGTGTAAAGAGCAGAAAGAAAGGAAGGAAGAGAAAAAGAATGAGGATGAGGAATCAAGTAAGGTCCCTGAAAAGGAAGGTAGTAAACCAGAGAAGGACAAGAAACAAGTTTCTAGGGACATCAAAGACAAAAGTGGGGACAGTTCTAAGAGTGATGAGGATTCTTCAGTGGATGACAGTGTGTCTAGTTCAGACCTCCTCATGAGCTCTGATAGTGATTTTGCCCAGTCTTGGAGTATGAAGAAGAACAAGGAAAAAGGTAACTTGTTCTTTCAATGTCTTGTATGGAATAATGTAAATGGATTTGGCTTGCTATATGTGATACAAAGCTTCTGTTTCTGGGGGCTTTCAGAGAATGACAGGGGGTTGCGTCTTGGTAAATTTGCAAATCTCTGATACTTACCTGTCACTTTTATAAAGCTGGAATGTACCTGTGTGTCATTAAACTACAAACCTCAGGACCCGTGAAGATCCGGGGTAGAATAGGTCTTCAGCAACCCATGTGCTTGCCATAAAAAGGCGACTATCTTGACGTAAGAGGCGACTATCGGGATCGGGTGGTCAGGCTCGATGACTTGGTCGACACATGTCATCGGTTCCCAATTCGCAGATCGATGCTCATGCTGTTGATCACTGGATTGTCTGGTCCAGACTCGATTATTTACAGACCGCCGCCATATAGCTGGAATATTGCTGATTGCGGCGTAAAACTAAACTCACTCACTCACTCACTCACTCACAAACCTCAGAATAGTAAAAGAGTAACTAAAATATGTGCAATATGATAAAATGGGTTCCATGAAGAAGACAACACCATGCTATAGTTCAACTTTTGGTTGAATACCTGTGTAATTCAATATGGATTTGTTGACATTCAATTTCTGATGACTGATCACACCAAAATAATGAGCAAAGGTTTATGGTTCAGGTTATCTATGGAGCATACCATTTTGATACTGATTTGAAGGGTCAAGTTAGGACTTTGGCTTATCAATGACATCTGCTTAACTGTGGTACCATAGTCACTCTATGGTTGTGGTGATTGAAAACATTCAAGATATCTTGTCATTGCTCTTCATTGGCAAGGTTATGAAATTATTGTTTCCATTTGCCAGAATCTTGTAAAAGTATGGAAGTATTTATCGTGGACTACCACTTTTTTTAATTAGGTAGAAGGTAATTCTGTTGCAGATGATGTTAGTGAACATATATATTATTTTCTATCCCTGCAGTCTTTGTAAGTAACTTTTCCATGATAGCCACAGTTATGATCTGCCTATGAACAAACCTATTATGATTGTTTTGCTACTTCAATTTTAGGTCAGAGAAATTCACAAAAAAGAACAGATGAGAAACTGGAGAAGAAGAAAAAAGAAAAAAGGAAGAAGCTGAAGAAACAAACAGAGGAAAGAAGTTCACGGAAGAGAAAAGAAGAGAACAAATTGAGAAAGAAGAAACCCAAAGGCACTGATAGTGAAGATGACCTAGAAAAGGAGATTTCCAAACTTGAGGAAGAACCAGAAATGAAGAAAAAGAAGGCAAAGAAGGAGAAGACAGACTCAGAGGTGGACTCTGATGAGGACACAAAGTGTAAAAAGGAAAAGAAGAAGGAAGCATCTGATGAAGAAAAGAAAGGCAAGTCTGGAGAAGAAATACAATTCATCCACATTCTGCCTGATATATTTGCCCAGTGGTATCATCACAGTGGAGTTGCTTTATTCACTGCATGTTACAGGTTTTAATGAACGTACGCCCATATTCCTCTTTGCTGTTTTCTTGTCACAGAAAATAGCTAAGTTGCATAGACGATTTTGGAATTATTTCCTCTATGCATTACAATTGAAGAAAAGGAAGGTGTGAAAACTGCTTGCTTGAAGTCTCCTGCTGTAGAATAACTTCCATCAAAATGGAAATACAGCCAGAACTCTGTGTTCGCATTCAGGATATTTTTTTAACCTTTTATGACAGCTTGACCTTATTTGACCAGTTTGTCTGGTCATGCTCACTGCAAGCAAAAGATTGTCGCACATCCGCCAAGTATGCGCCTGACTCGACCGTTTATTATGTTTTGGTACCTTGTGTTCTCCTTTCATTTGCTCCCTCTGTCTGCCATGCTTGCTAGAATGCAGGGTCTGGTGTTTCAACTCCAGTGTGAATACAATGAGTCTGAGACGTCCTTACTGTCCGAAAACTGAATAATTTAAGGGTGTTCCTGTTATAAGTGAAAATGCTTTTTAAAAATTTCTCTTCAGGGAGCTATTTAGTGGTAACTTGAATGAAGACTTGGTGATCGAATCTATGTTTTTGTTCTTCGATAAGAACCAAGTTACAGCCACTGCATTGTGTCAGTGACCTTGATGATAGAACATGGCTCATGTTTCGTGGTAGAGATTTGGCCTCGAAATGTTATGTTGCAGATCACTGAATTTCTGTAGTGTAGCCCATTGTGAACAATGTCCCTTTTCATCTATATACGTTTGAACTTTGGACACAGATATTGATCATGTACATTTTTCTTCAAAATTTGAAATTGTCGCTTTGTTTTGTTGATATTTCGACTGTTTACATATGGTGTATGTCCTTTGCTGAATGTTATAAAGCGTATGACCTGCATTTTGCTCTGTGTTGAAATATGAAGCCGGGCTTATTCCCAGCCATCAGTCTGTGCCAAAAACTTCTCTGTCTACTGTGCCAAACTCTTCTGTGTGCGCCATTTTGAGGAGGTTTAAGTGCTGTTGTAATCAGATAGACGTTTACTTAACTGAGGCTTCAGACCAGTGTGGGACTTGTCTAGACACTATCATAAGTGTACTAGGAAATAATCATATGTCGCCATCTATTTCATTTCCTCTATTTTAGCTATATTGATCTGAGTAATATTTAATGTATAAAAAAACAGCCTCGAATCATGTATATTTTAGGACTTCTATCATCTGTAGTTTTTCGCTGTTGGGATGAAGCAGTTGAACGGACAAGATCAATAGTTAGCAATAACACTGTCTTTGGTAAGATCATCTCTTGTAGTAGACCATGTGATGTGTATATCTGCTATAAATTATTAACAAACTTTGCTTATCAAAGGTTGAGAAGGTGTCATATATCTTGTAGGCACAAAGACCAGGGGGAAGAAAAAGGCAGAAACATCCAGTTCAGATGATGATAACAATGAAGTCGATGATGAAGTAGACGAAGATGATGAAGACGATGTGCCAAAAATGAAGAATGGAAAGAACAAGGTATGTAGATTCGATACTAGTGGTTTGTGTGATGATTAACTTCTTATTTCCTGGATTGATTAGAGTGATTTGACAGTTTGTCAACACAAAATACAATTTGTATAAAGCCATTTCAACTTGTCATGATTTGATGCCACCTTTTTTATCATGAATGCTTTGTACTAAATTTGGAACAAATATAATCTTCAATTTTTTTCCCAGTGTCCTGGAAGATGAACTTATTTGAATCTCGCTCAGGTCAATATTAGTTTAAAGAGTACCATGTGAAAAGTTGGTTAAGTGAACAATGTTCATTGCAGCCTTGAAAAATATTCAAAGGACTCTTGAATGGTAAGGCTAAGTGAGATGCAAAACCTACCAGGCTGCTGTCGTACAAAACAACCCTAGCGCTAAGACTACTTAAGTCTATGTTAAGGTATGGGAGTTAGTCACCTTAGCACTAGGATCGCTTTGTACAATGGCATCCAGGGGGATTAGACACTTATTAGGGTATTATCCATCCCAATGATAGGGAAGATGCTTATGGGGAAACTTCATGGAGTTCAACAGTCACCAACTTTCTCCATGCCCTTGTACAACCCGTGAAGGTCCAGGTTAGAATATTGATCTTCAGTAACCCATGCTTGTCGTAAGAGACGACTAACGGGATCGGGTGGTCAGGCTCGCTGACTTGGTTGACTCGTGTCATTGGTTCCCAATTGCGCAGATCGATGCTCATGCTGTTGATCACTGGATTGTCTGGTCCAGACTCGATTATTTACAGACCGCCGTCATATAGCTGGAATATTACTGAATGCGGCGTAAAACTAAACTCACTCATTCACTCTCCCCTTGTTCAGGCACCTGAATCACAGAATGGTAAGGACCTTGAGAATGAGGTAGCAAAGAAAGCTTTGATGGCAGAGTTGGAGGATGCTGATACGGAGGGAGGTGATGAGAGTGGCAACGATGACAGCGAGTCAGGTATGAATAATACAGGGAATGTCTGCTTGTCAAAACTTCCATTGCACTTTTTTTTATGAACAAGATGCGTATTACTAGCTCTCTATATATTGTAGCATATTTATAGACATACAATATGTGGAGGAAAGCCTTCGGAAAGTTTTAGTCTGCTAAAGATGTTAATACTCTTGTGTCGCTGTATGCTGGCATTTCATTATTCTTGATCATCTGAATGTTTTGGGATGGTAGGAATGTCGAGGGATTATGGTGTTCACCCATCATAGCTGGACTGAGAGGAGAGTGGGGAACACTACAACTGAATCATGAGTTACAGGTTTATTGTTTTGAGAAGGAGGATCCATTCTAGTTCTGTGTATCGGGGTTTTGGGCCATGCTCTGAGCAGACTAGGGATCTTACTTTAGCTGTTTTATGATCTTGTAGTGCAGGGCCCCTATTCTCGAAAGGATCCTAGCTCGAGGATATCCTAACTTTGATCCTAGGGTCTAGGACAGGGGTCCTACCTTATTCTCGAAAAGTATCCTAGCGCTAGGCTATCCTAAGTTAGGTCAAATTCTAGGATAGGTTCTGATTTGCCCTAAGTCTATCTTTTGGAAGTCAACTTAGTGTGGTTCTTGTTTGTTCACCAATTTTAACGTTGTCAAACGAAATATCTCGCCTAAATTACATTTGAATTTACAACAGCACACAGTTTTGATGTGTTACGAAGACTTTTTTGAGTTCATATTATCAATTTAGCGGTAATGAATAGACACACTTGTTGCAATGCACATATTCTTTAGATCTACAAAAGAGATTTGTTCAATTCTTACCTATTCTCGGCTTTTTTAATCACAACATTGCTCTTTTCAGTCACATTGCCTTGAAATGTCAATGTCAAGGCCAACTTGATAGGGGAAGTAACTCCTGGTTATTTCCGAGGTGAATTTTTCAGTTTGTGAGATGACGCATAATAAGAGTTCAAGTCATGATTTTCATAAAAACAAATACAGTAGAACACGGATATACGGATATAGCGCACAAACGGATATAGCGAAACAAATTTAAAAGTCCCTGGCCAACAGTCCTTTATAATATTAAAATTATCTGCTTGAATAACTTGAACTTCGTGAGTAGCTTAATTAATAGCTATAGCTTAACTGATTTACTACCCCCAAGCCCAACTAACGATGTGATTAGCGAACTCACTCAGTGTCAGCTCAGCCACTTGGCGGTATACATCAACCTTGTTGGCGGCGGCGAATCAACATTGTTCGATGGCCATTAACGTGTCTGTGATGCAGTCGACAAAATGAAGTCTGCAAGGCGTGGTGTACAGAGCAAAATTGTGGACTTTGTTAAACGTAATTAAGTTATATACATGTATTGTTGAGATTGTTGTGATTGTTAAACATGTTCTACAATCCAAGATGGCGGTCAAATGTGAATATTGAACACAATGGGATATAGCGAACTAAATTTCGCGTGGTCCCTTGGAGTTCGTTATATCCATGTTCTACTGTACAATGAAAATATTTTGTTGCACATATCTTTAATATCCTTATTGTTTTTTGGCAGACTTTCAAATTCTGAAGTAAAATTGTTATCGCCTTGTCCAAAATGAATTTTCAAAAACTTCAAAACTACTATAATGTGATGAAAATATTGAATAATTTCTTCTACATCTACTAAGTCCATCAAAAGCTGAATTTCCTTATATTATGTGTTTTTTGTGGATTGAATCGTGGGTAATATTTAGGGGAATCCCCAACTTAATGAATGTTTTTCTATCTCACCTACTGAAGAGCTCGCTATCCTAGCTAGGATAGGTAGCTCAAGTTAGGACAAGGATAGGATCATTTTGAGAATGGGTCTTATCCTAATGGTAGGATGTCCTAACTTCTGTCTTAACTACTTAGGATCTGTCTTAGCTGGGACACTTTCGAGAATAGGGGCCCAGGTCTCGGGTGGAGTGTCCTGCTGAGTTGAAGTGGTTTGTCCCTTTTGTGATTGAGAAGGTACATGTTGTTTCTCCAACATACTGTTCCTCATATTTGGAACGGTAAAACATAAGTTGATAGTGTTTCTACTCTTACAACTAAAGTTTATGTGGCATTTGTATTTCTTGCCTCAGTGTTTCTCTGTGTCTACTGAAGGTGTTTCTGGTTTTATGTTCATGTTCATGTATGACAGTTGTCATCCAGATTGCTGACGGTTCGGCCACTGATTTGTGGTTTAAGTGGTGGTATGTAATGTCCACCTCCATGAGGATATTTCTGACTGTGAGTTCTGATGTGTCGGATTAGGAAAGGTCTTTTGTAGACATCCTACCCTGTAAGTAGGTTCCTGGAATGTTTAATCAGACAGCTGACCTTGAGTGCAGTAATATTATAATCTGATGAAGATGACTGGTTTGGGATCTTCAGAGGTGTCTTTTTGTTAGACAAGAGGAGCAGTCTCATTTTGGTATTAGCCCAGAATTTGTTATCCATTACGATTTTCTTAGGATATCCTCTCATAAGATAGTACTTGACCAATTTTGTTGTGGAACTCATTGTGATTGCAAGCAGCATATCTTGGCAGTAAGGTCATTTAGGTGTCTAGCAAAAATGAAAATGTGTCTGTAGACTTGTGGTATGGGTCAAATATCAGTTTGTTGGAGTATTCTGGGTCAAAATGACCTGTATGTCTAAGAAGACCAACTTGTACATATAGAATTCTGCAGTGAATTTAATGCTTGTGTGTAAGTCTTGAAATCTTTGAAAGATACTAGTCTGGTTAGACCCAACGTCCAGATTACAAAGATTTTGTCAATGCAAGCAGTTAGATGAGAGCAACTGAAGGTCGAAACTAGTTACTGATTATGCTTTGGCTATTACCTCTCACTTTGCTATACTCATAGCTTTGGGTTTGATTACCTAAATGGGTACATCAGCAATGTAATTCCTGGTCTTTTGAACCCAAACATGTTTAGGGTGGTCATTTACATGTGCAATTATGTTACAGTACAAAACCAGTGATCAAATTATGCAAATACATCAATGGATTCCTGGCACTGTCTTTTCTTAAATGAGTTGAAAAATCTCAAATAGATGGTCCCCAGTCATAGGAACAAAGGACCCCAATACTTAATTATAAAGCACTGGCACAAACTGTAAACAGTTGATATTATTTGAGTTCTATTGTGCTGAAAAAAGAACATCATATACTGTAGCTTATCAGCTCTTTTGTAATATCTATCAGATGATGATGCCAAGAAGAAAAGGGGAGCCAAAAAAGACAAGAAACCCGTGAAGGAAGAGAATGATGATAGTGACAATGACAATGAAAATGACAGTGAAGATGAAGATTCTGATACTGTGCCAAATAAGAGGAAGAGATTACGTAGCAAACTCTTAGATGCTAAGTTGTCAGGCAGTGAGTCTAGTTCTAAAGACAGAAAGTCTAAGAAAAAGGTGAAGTCAGAGGAGAGTGATTCTGAGGAGGTTGTCAAGAAAAAATCAAAGAAGAAGAAATCATCAGATGAAGATTTTGACAGTGATTCAAGTTTGGGCAAGAAAAAGAAAAAGGGAAGGAGGAAAAAGAAACAGAAGAAGAAGAAGAAGAGGGGGTATGTAGCATCAGTCATTATCACATAGGACTTTAATCCAATTGAGATGGGGTAGCCCAGTGACATAACTTGTTCACTTGTCAGACCCAAAGACCTGGGTTTGATTCCCCAGATGGGTGCAAAGTATGAAGCCCATTTCTGGTGCCCCTTGCTGTAATATTGCTGGATTCTTTTTCAGAAGAAGTCCTCCTTGGGGTACATATAATCATTTATATGGCCATTTTAAATCCTACGACAGTTGTAACAATATTTTAATAAAAATAATTACAAAACAAAAAACTCTGTTTTCACTTTTCATGCTGTCGTTCTCTAGAATATACGTGCATGGTGTCCTTAGATTCTTATCTCTTCCTATAATCGACAATGTGTAATAAAGTTTCTCAAACTCTATTTATGGTTAATCTCTTTACGCACGGGCGTTAGATGGACTTCACATATTGATATTTTCATTCATCATTTGTTGTAACCTTGTGTTGTGGGTCTCTGTTTTCCAGCCATGTGGCAAGCAAAATGGCGGCCACGCGATCGTGGTTTCCTCTCTACATGTTAGCTTTTTAGCCTGTTGTTGGAAGTTCATATATTATGTTTGCATATTATATGATTGGCTTGCCTTAATTCTCAGGAATTTACGGGAAGTCGTGAGTAATTTGATGGCGTGTTCGTTTCGTATCACTCTCAATTTTACTCCATTGTATGTATACGCAGGTTGTGGCTAGCCTTTTTCTGCTTTACTTCATGTTTAGTATTTAAATGGCTGTAGCTGGTAGCATTTAAATATCGCCTGTGCGTTTTATTTATTGCCATTTACTTGTGTTTACATGTTTGCTGCGTCACAGTTCCTTCTAGTAACACTGGCGCTGTTCAGTTTGCTGCAGTTTTAGCCCTGTGTGTTGTGCAGTGCCACACTACCACAACGGGATGGCCATAAGGTGTGCCTCCAATGTTTAGTCAAGGAGGCTCACACCACCAAGGATGTTTATAATTAGCGCCCTTGCGTAAAACAATTTTTCCTGTTATGTTATGTTGTGTTATGTTACACATACATATACACACGTGCCTCATGGTGACCAAGGTTGTGTTTCTTGTCTGGGTTTTTGCGCCTCGCGAGCGTTCTTTCAGGTCACTAATCTGCATCGTGGGGGGTGGGGGGGTGATATTGGATTAAGGGTTTCTAAGGAAATCCCTTTATCCCACCCCCACCTACACCTCCCCCACAAATAATGTTGCTACACCACTAATGAATGATTTCTTACTTATAGCAGCAGCGGAGATTGGCGGTGCACACTCTTATCTCAAACACGGTTTCCAGACTCCGAGAGACACATCATTTGGGGGGAGGTCCCGACCCGAGCTCCAGCTCTGGGAAGGGTCCGACCTCCCGGGGACGCTCTGAACCTAGGGGTCAGAACCGACCCGGGCCGGTAGCTCAGGTCTCGGCCTGATGTCTATCAGCGCCTTGACCAGGGGGCTGTTCAGTGTGACGGAGCTACTGAGCTGCCTATCACCTCGACGCTCTGAGGTATACCCGTGTACACCAGGGGAACCTTGCATTGCCAGGCTACTCCCATGTGTCTCCAAGCCGGGGGTCTGACTAGCACCGACCCGGGCTTCGGCTCCGGTACGGCGCAGATCCCCGGCGCCGGGAGTTCAGGTTTCGGCCTGATATCTATTGACGCCCTGGCCAAGAAGCTGTTGAGTGTCACGGACCTATCACCTTGACGCTCCGAGGTCTACCTGTGTATGCCAGGGGAACCCTGCATTGTCAGGCTACTCCCATGTGTCTTGGGACCGGAGTTCGGACTCTCTGAACCTGGGGACTAGCACCGACCTGGGCGCAGATCCCCGGCGCTGATAGCTGGGGTCTCGGCCTGAGGTCTATCGCCACCCTTGCCAAGACGCTGTTGAGTGTGATGGAGCTACCGATCACCTCGACGCTCCGAGGTCTGCCACGTGTACACCAGGGAAACCCTACATTGTCAGGCTACTCCCATGTGTCTCGGGACCGGGATTCGAACTCGAACCACCGACCCGAGTACATATATGTATATGTACCGATCACCTAGACGCTCCCGAGGTCTGCCACATGTACACAAGGGAAACACTGCATTGTCAAGCTACGTCCCGTGTGTCTCGGGACCGGGATTCGAAACCGAACCACCGCCCGAGTACATATATGTATATATATGGGTGTTTATATATCACTATCGGCAGTGTATGACTGTATGCTCAGTGCGCTTGTGGTAACAGTACCAGGGGAACCCTGATTTATCAGGCTACTCCTACGTATCTTGGGGAGTAGCACCAACCTGGGCTTCGGCACCGATAGGTGCAAGATAGAATCCCGGCTGTGTTGCCTCAGGTGTTGTCCACGACGAGGGCCAGGACCGTTGGAGTTTGCCTCCCGGGGGGAAGCCTACTTCTAGCAAGGCATCCGGTTCACAGCCTCACATTCTACTGTCAGTCTGCCATCCTTTCCCCTTAACAGCTGTACGCTGTATGCTTTACTCGATGCCTCTCTCTGCTCTGCAGAGGTAGCTGGTGGAAAGGGGAAAGAGCGCCGGTAATTCTTCATTGGCAACTCTGGGCGGCAGCTGACGGAGGTCCACTCTCATCTGGCTAGGGACTGCTTTGTAGCTGTGCCAGCCAAATTATGAGTGCGGTTTTAGGCCTATGACACCTGGGACTACGTGGAATATGGAAGTTTGTCGGGCTTGTCGTTAATCCTTCAGGTGCCCCGGCACCGGTAAACGTTATGTTGCCGGCTGCAATGGTTTACTGTATTCTGCCGCAAATCCCATTGGGAGTGTGACACCTGTGTCAGTTCCACCGCAGAAATACTCAGTGCCGATCTCCAGTCTCTGCTCAAGGCAACCATCGAGGGGTTTCAAATGGTCAGGGGAAATGTGGGGTTCGACTCCAATTTCCTCTTTACCATCAAGAACGGAATGTTCAGACCCATCCTCATCTGTTCAAGTTAATAGAGGTACTGTCCTTCAGGATGCACCTCAGTGATTTCTGTCGAAGAATTGGCCGGGCGTCAATCGAACTCAAAGTCTCATTCCTTGTTCCACACCCGATTTCAAGAATTACCTTCTGTTCTTGTTTGGCGGACGTGCTACCAGTTTCGTTTGTTACGGCGCCGAGGGTGTTCACCAAATTGAGGTTTATTAAAGCTCAGATAGCAGTGCCGGTGTTGTCTCCCATAATTAGGCGACTGGCTCATCGGGGTTATAGAATATCAGTTGAGTCTAGAAACGTCGTGATCAGTGTTGGTCACTCTTATGAAACTGGGCTGAATTGTCAATCTCAAGAAGTCGGAGCAGGATCCGGTCTTGGGGGTTGATTTTGAGGATGAGACCCATGCAACAAGCTTTTGAACCTGGGTTCCCACTCATAGAGCTGCGAGAAAGCTCGAGATGCCAGTCCAGGCAGATACATCCCTCCCGGGTTGGGGTGATGTTCTGGGCAACCCGCGTTCTCTTGACAACGAAGTCACTACCTGCACATCAATGTGCTGGAATTGACAGCAGTCAGGTTGGTTTTCGATCCCGCACGCAGGGTTTCAAATTACCTTGAAGGCCAGACATTCTTTCTCTGAACGGGGCGCCACACCCGAATCCTCAGATTCTCTGGGTGGCTTGGCCTCTGTCGGGTCTAAGCTCCAGACACACTGAATTCCTGCAGCTGTTGCAGACACAATTCCGGCTTCCCTGTGAGTGTCCTGCCACCCTGACCAAGTGAGTAACTGGTTATTGGTATCTGTATTCAATGTCAATATGATTCATATCACTACATCGTATCAGCCTTACCACCCTTTCGGGTCGGGTCGGCTTTTGGTGTACAATCGTCCCTTATGTCGTCTAAGCTGAAGGCAAGAGAGGGCGGGGCAGGTTTTGAACGCTATAACCAGTCATATGCTATTAACCCGTCTTACGACGGAATTGGGTATTAACCCCCCACAGGTAACTGTTTGGAATGCCTCTCTTAGAGCCACATGTCACGTGACCAGGTAAGCGTAATAGTGAGCCAACACACGTTCGGCTATTTGCGCTATTTCAGGGGATTTTTATATACGCTAACAGCTTTTCCCTCTTTCAGAGACTTCGGTATGTGGGAGTCTGTGTTAGTACTTCGGGTGTTGGTGGTTTACACTTACCCTCCTCGCGCTGAGAGCGTTTGGTGGGTGTTTTATCCTGCTTTTCACTCGTACAATGGCATTTGTCCTCGTTCGATTTCCTCATAAAGTTTTTAGCGAGGCTAATAATTTCTCTGGTTTTATCGAGGTCCCAGCAAAGCCCTCTTCTAAGAAGGGGGTGCATTCGAGCCTTTAGTTTGCAGTACTTTTTGGCTCGACCCCAGTGTTATTGGCTTTTAAGCGTTTTTACGCTGGTTCGGACTATTAAGGTTGGGAGCTGTTTCGGCATGTCCCCATACATTCCTTTCCATTGTAATGGTTGGGGGTGGGGTTTATGTCATTCTAGATTTGAGCCAATCGAAATATAAGCCTGGGCTTTCTATTTCACGCCCTAGCCACGACCCCGCCTGATTGAGGTGAGGTGAGGTGAAATTGGGTTTAACGTCGTGCTTGAGAATATTTCGCTCATATGACGACGTGCATGCGTGTGTATGTGTATGTGCGGCTGCTTGTACTAGCCCAGACTGAAGCTGGTTTTATAGTGCTAGCCCACTGAGATACCCAGCCGCAGTGAAGCATGAATACTCCGAGCCGACCAGTCCTTGTTGTACCCATTAATGCCGAACGCCAGGCAGGGACCAACAAGTACCATATTTTAACATCTTTTGGTATGACGCGGTCGGGGATCGAACCCGCAACCTTCCTCTCTCCAGGCGGACGCTCTAACCACTACACCACTGAGGCGGTCCCCGCCTGATTGACATCAGCGGTCAGGTGACTAGGTAAGTGTGTTTTTCTATCTGCGATTCGGTTGTAGATCTAACTCCACCACGGGTTTAGTGTTGCCAGACAGAATACCACTCCCGACTTACAATCTTTGGGAGTCTGTCTTATGCTTATATGTACCCCAAGAAAGACTTCTACTGAAAAAGAATCATACAAACCTGTAGAGGTTTCTGATTCTTTGAAGAAAGTCTTCCTTGGGGCACGGCCGCCCACCTCCCCTCATTCTATCTGATTCGTTGAGCATGAAACGTGAGGTGCGAGGTAAACAGACAGAGTTACCTGCTCTTGGCTGTAGGGGGTCCTGTAGGGGTGGTCTCACAAGACAAAAACAAGTTTTTTGTTTTGTAAATATTTTTATTAAAATATTGTTACAACTGTGGTAGGATTTAAAATGGACATTTAAATGCTTATATGTACCCCAAGGAGGACTTTCTTCAAAGAAACAAAACCTCGACAGATTTGTACGAATTTGCTAAACAGCATAAAACCTACTTACCTCACCTCACTCACTCAATCACTCACTCACTCCTCAAGTGGTGATTCTGTGTAATAATATGGTTTCCTAGTAATCTGTGCTTGTCCTGAGAGGCAAGTAAGTGGATGTGGTGGTTTCATTGCATGTCATATGGTGTCTCAGCTGAAGAAGTTGATGTTCAAATCGAATCAAACCTTGCTAGCACAAGAAACCCTTTTAAATTCAGGGTCTTTTGTTTGTTTGAAGGAAGCTGGAACTTCAACCATAAAACCTGGGCCCAGTTGTGATACAATTACTGTTGTATGGAAGTTACGATCATCAGAGTGCTAAGATTGCTTTGTGCAATTGTACCCAGATCAGATGCTAATGAACTTGAAAACAAGGAAAACTTGGGTGTATTTGTCAGGAATGTTGAAGTGCATGTTATAAACAAATGTTATTTTCGGGATCCAGGAAGAAGAGGAAACTGACAAGTGACTCCGAATCTGGGAATTCATCATCTTCTGATTCCGCAAGTGATTCCGACAGTGAGATTAGTCTGGACACAGAGGAGGAGGAGAGGCGAGAGAAGCTGAAGGCAGAACGCAAAGCTAAGCGGAAAGCAAAGGGGAATAAGCGGCGTAGAATCAAGGAGCAGAAGGATTCCTCTGATGAAAATAAGAAAATAGAGACAGATTCAGATATTGTAAGTGTTTATTATATTTGGTTAGCTCTCTAGCATCAGATCAGCCAAAGTTCTTTTCTTTTCTTTTTTTCCTTTTTTTTTCATTTGACTGAAGTATGTTTAGTTTGTACTTCTTACCTGTACTGAAAGTTCTCTTTAGGTCCTTGTATGAGTTCGAAAAGATTGGTTAGTGACGAATATTTGTTATGGCTTGTAACCTTGGGTTTGAATGTTATGTAAAAGATGATGCTTGCAATGTGTTGTAGGATGGAAGTGATGATGATGATGATGACGACGATGACGATGGTAAATCCCCGGACAAGTCTGGCAGGAAGAATATTCGAAAGATAAAGTCTGATAAGAAACTCACTGATGATACTAAGCGGGCCCGCAAAGCTGAGGAATGCAGAAGGAAGAGGGTTGTTGAACGCCAGAAAGAGGTTAGTATTCTGTGGTCACAGTTGACATGAGTAGATTTATGTTACGGGAATACCAGGCAAGAAGAGGTCCAATGTATGCCATTGCAGTAGTAGTTCAGGCCTGGTGATTTGGCTAGTGTCCGTGGTGCCCGAGCTTTGTCACAGGTTTCCCTGACCCAGATTTGAAATGTTTACTTGTCCTGTTACTTATGATGCAGTCTCATGCTCTTGAACCGAAACAATCCTGAAGATCTGTCTGTTTCTCCTGTTCAGAGGGACAGTGGGGTAGCCTAGTGGTTAAAGCGTTCGCTTGTCACTCGCTTGTCACGTCAAAGACCTGGGTTCGATTCCCCACATGGGTACAATGTGTGAAGCCCATTTCTGGTGTCTCCTGCCGTGATATTGCTGGAATATTGCTAAAAGCAGCATAAAAACATACTCACTTGTCACTATGGCTGAAATATTGACAAAAAATCTTAACTCACTCACTCACCCAGATGCAATGATCATCACCCAATACTCCACCTTCAGACACTTCACCATTTCCTCTCTAAGTGGACACCCCCCAGGGCTGGTCCATGGACGTCCTGACTACTGAGATAGAATTCACATTACGTGTTTCCATCACCCAAACGACTTCTAAATTTGCTAAATCAATAATATCGTGTGCAGCTGGATGTGATGCCTAATGCCGAGTTTGTTCAAGCAACTCGTTCATGGAAGTATTCTGTCCAGGACGCTGTTGTACAAAGTGACCTTAGGGTTAAGGTGATTGTAACTCCCATAACCTAGCATAGACTTATGACTGTCATAGTGCTATGGTTGTTTTGTACAACAGTGCCCTGGAGAGAGATCTCCATTGTTCAAGAGCAATACATTGCACTATCTGTAATACAAGATAAGTATTTAAATATCAAATACATTAGATACTGAAAATATTTACCGTCTCTCATATGTATCTTGTTTCAAAATACACTTTCTCGAAGTGGGTTCCAGGTACAAACAACGAACATTTTTCCCACATGGCAAGCGTCCGTGAATTTGTGGATAAATGTAAGGGAAATTCACAGAAACAAACATTAATGTCAGACTTTTTCCAGAAGTGAGTTCATCTTTTTGTATTAATAAGATTCAAGATGGCGACATGTACAAGTATATCAATCGATTGCCGATAGATTTTGTTCATGGATTTTAAGAGGTAAATGTATTTTGTATTTTATTGTGCTAGTATTGAAATGTGTTCTCATTTGTAAAATGTTTGTTTCCATTATCCATTATTATCCATTATCTATGTCAAATAATGTATTGTTGTGCTATATTTAGATAAGATGTGCTGAATAAAGGAATTGTTCAATATTGAATCATCTTTTTTTTCTACCCTCATAGACATACCTATGTCTCGAATACATCGATAAGCCGAATGTTTTACTTGGTCCCCAGCGATTCGACTCATCGGGATTTGACTGTACTTCTGACTGAAGCACCAATCACCAATTTTGTGTGTAGAAGGAATTTGCTGAACTCTAGACATTTTGAGTTTGCGCAAATGTTAAGGATATTAGTTTTAATAATTTAAAGGGTATTTAAGTATTTAGGAAATGCCAGTGGACATGGTGCTGTATTTTCCACATTTTAATGTGTTTGTTGTTTGTTTTCCAGTTCAACCATGTTGTACAAATAACAGATGAGCAGACCAAGTGCCCCATCACTACACAGTTGATTTTGGAGATGGACAAGGATAAGAAAGATCCCCTTATAGAAGTGAACAAGAAGCTGGTTCGCAAACTCAAACCTCACCAGGTGGAAGGTGAGCAAGGGAATCACGCCATCTCTTTCTGTTTAGGAACATAACCCTTGGCTGTTCATCACTCTGTACCATTGTATGTGAATATAAATGTCAGCTGTCAACAGAATCTGCTTGCAACGGCCAACTGAAAAGAAGACTGTAGTTTCAGTTTTACAGCTCATTTGAAATTAGATAATGTATGATTAAGAATATTTTACATTGGTTAAAAAGCTGTGATATGTAATGCCCACAAACCAGTGATTGGTATGAACAACATTCACTGCATTCATGCCATCAACCACATGGCTGAACCTGACCACCCACCCATTTAAGGCTTCTTATGCAAGTAGCTTGTGACAGATTTTAGCGGCAGTGGAGTTGCCTAGTGGTTAAAGCATTCGCTCATCACGCCAAAGGCTTGGGTTTCGATTCCACATATGGGTACAGTGTGTGAAGCCCATTTCTGGTGTTCCCCCACTGGAATATTGCTAAAAGCTGTCTAAAATCATACTCACTCACTCACTGTGATGTATTTGAACTTATCATGTTGCATTAAACAACTTTTACTTGATCTGTTCCTCTGTCTTCAGCTGCCCAGTTCATGTGGGACTGCATGTGTGAAACAACCGATCGCATCAAGAAAAAGGAAGGATCTGGCTGTATCCTGGCTCATTGTATGGGTCTTGGTAAAACGTTATCGGTGAGTCTTTCCTGTCTAAACACAGCCTTACTCAGGAGATCAGTAAACTGAAAAAAATAACATGGTCATGTTTCCTTTTAATTGCTTTGTGGGTATGGATGTGTTAATCTAATTTGTCTCTGGCAGATGTCAGGTATCGTAGGTACAAATTTGATGTTTGACCTGAATAGTATGCTAGGTTTGATGGTAGCACAACTGACCAAGACGTCTCACTTTGCTGTGTAGAGTTGTTTTCCTTGGACATTTTAGAAACTTTTGATTTGGGGCGCTTTTCAGTTCCACCCCTTTCTCTTTCCTTCCTTTCTCCCTCTTCCCTTTCCCTTCTCCTCCCAAGCTGACACATTTTGATATGACTACAATACTGTTTATAGTAAAGCTACAAACTTCAGAGATGTTGAATAGGATAATGGTGTTTCGTTAGTTTTTTTCCAATGAAATATTTTTTTTCTATTTTTACCTGTCGGTTCAGTTTAAAAGCATCTCTTCAAAGTTGTTAAACAGTTGAAGATAAATAAATCATTAAAATGGAAACACTACCCAATGGGTTTTGAAAATTAATCTGAGCAAGATAAAAACTTGTAATACCTTTTCACATGTTCATGGTGAACCCCAACCCTATGGCTACCTGTCCTATTCACTTGGAATTATGCAGGTCGATTTTGACTTCTTAAATGGAGGGACGAATTTGCGAGGAGAAAACAAACCCTCTGTTGTGACCTGGTGGCCATGTTGCTCTGATGTAGGTGGATTATATGTTGGTAACTTGTCTTAAAGAACATGCAGTACACAAATATGTGAACTGATTTTTACCAAATTTGTTCCAGGTGATAACATTTGTACACACAATGCTGTCCAATGAAGAGAAAACGACCATGAGAACTTGCCTGATTGTATGTCCATTGAACACTGTCATCAACTGGCGTAACGAGTGGACCATGTGGTTTGATGAGAAGGACCAACTAGATGTGAGTATGACCCTGGTGTCATCTTAGTTCAACCAATTTTATGGCTTTCTGCTTTAAGCCCTATGGGAGGTTGCATCAGGTAATTATTTTTTTTGTCAGCTTATCACCATCAAGGCTTTTGTTATCCCCCGCCGCGCGGTTAGCGTGAAGCGGGGGATATAGTATTAGGCTCCGTCCGCGATACGAATTGGAATATCTTCAGAACCGTTGACTGGATTCTTTTCATATTTGGTACCTAGGTTCATCACAGTAAAAGAAAGACCTTTATTTCAAGGTCACAAAGGGATTTTAACGTTTTACCCTTGTCAGTGAGATATCTCAAGAACAGTTCACAGGATTTTCTTCATAGACTTTCAAGACTTCTCTTGAATGATTTCAATAAGCAATTTCTTTATTACTATTTTTGCATATATCATACACTAAGACATTCATGTCAAGGTCAAAGTGAGTCTTGAAAATATTTGTGCGATTGAACAACTGCAGAGGAAGATATCAAGAGAGGTTGACATTTAACTTCTTCTTAAATTACGACCTTCACTTTCATTACTTTTTAAGTTTATTTGATAATTTGCGTCAAGGGGATTATGTAACCTTAGTGACAATGCTTGTTCTTGCTGTGAGGGTTAGTGGGGGTAGCCTTTTTAAAGCATTGATTTGTCATGTCAATCAGAAGATCAGGTTAGCGCTTTGATTCATCACATGGGTACAATATATGAAGCCCATTTCTGTTGTCCCTTGCTGTGAAATTGCTGGAATATTGCTACAATTTATAATGTAAAACCATACTCAAATCTCCTCAATCTTACTGCAAGAGTGAAGCATTCAGACAATCATTTCTGTTTCTTGTAAATGAAGAAGAAGATCTGAGCAAGATTCGCCATGCACTGGTCAACGAATAGTTTGAAGGAGATTCACTCAGGGGTTCATCTGCTGAGGTAAATTCATCATTAGTTGAAGAAGACACAGAAATATCTTAAAGGTCACATAAAACCCTAGGGAGTACAAATACATAAATCATGCTTAACTTGATCGATGACAACATCCTTATAAATGAAACACCCACTAATGTCACACTTTCGCTTTTCCAAGAATGGACTACTCATTTCAAGGCTTTAATTGACTTCTGGCAACATCGACCTTTTGACAACAGTGCACAATTCTCCACCCTCATCTTCATAAGAAGTGGTCAAGAAATTTCAACAAAGCAATCAGAGAGGGTGAAGAGGACGCCAAAGCCACGGATCTGTGGGACGCCAAGCCTATGAGGTTGAATACCAGCTTGAGGCTTGAGTCCTGTCCTGTGCAGAATTCATCTACATTTTAGAGTCTCTGGTGAAATTATCTGCTGTAATTACAGGCTTGTATGTGTCAAACCTGAAATCGTGACAATTGTTGTGGAAAAGGCTGATGAAACCTCATATGTTATGCCAGGAAAGGTGGCCCATGAGACAACTGGAACTGCAAGAGCTTGATTTCTTCAGATGTGGCCTAATCTAGAGCTAACTTGAGAGTACTCTTGGGGCATAACCAGATGAAGTAGAAGAGTTAATAATCAGCACTAATGTTGGTAAATATCAGTGAAACTATCAATATGGAGTAAGAGTGCCATCAAACATTTTGGAGGAATATCAGCTTCATCCATAGCCCATGAAAGACTAAATCTTGTCATGAATGTTCTTGGATCTTTTTGTAGAAATAATCCGAAAATGTCTGTGCTATTACTTCATTGTCATCAGATGTCGGAAGTGTCGATTCAAAGTGTTTACTCAAGATACTGAACAAAAGTTTGGACAGCAACTTTGGACTTGACTCGTTGGCTTCAATCTTAGAATTGAGATGTTGATTTGTCTGATGACCGTTGTTGAGTGATTTTTGGCTGAAATATGCATTTGGAGATGAATCTCCAGGAAAGATTGTTTTCCATCTGCGTTCTGCTTTCCTCTTGTCTTTTTTCGCTTGTCGAACTTCAGGTGTGAAGTCCCAAGCAGATGTTTTAGTGACCGGTATGACTCTGTCCTTCACTGGTGCATGTTTGTCTATATAGCAGCTCAGATAGAACTCTATTGTATAGCAGAACGGGACTCAGCAGCCAAATGGTGGCTCAAGTATAAGGTCTGAGTTTAGCAAATTGTCTTTAAAAGTATCCATATCCAGGGAGCGCATGTTCCTACAGCCAGTAATCTTCACATTGGACTGGGTATTGAGGGTCCAAGCTCACAAATACATGGAAATGGTCAGAGAGCTGTAGATCCTATACAGGTACACAACTGACACACGCAGCGTCTGAATCACGGGTAACTATCCAGTCCAGAGTGTGTCCACCTCTGTGGCTTGCCTCTGACACGAAGTTGTACACAGTTGTGGGACTTCAAGAAGATTAATTATTCGTTTAGTGTCATGGTTATCCTTGTTGTCAAATGGAAATTGAAGTCGCCCCTCGATGATAATAGCTACGCCGCCAACTTATCCAGTCTGTGCGAGACGGTGCCGAGCAGTAATTGCTGCCAATGGTGGCCATACAAAGAACTGACTTCGGCCATCTTGTGGACTCAAAAGAACAGAAACACAACAGTAAAGGCTTTGTCTATAGACGTTTGAATTTTCACCTTTTACCATTGGGATTACATGAAATAATAGCTCTTAAACTAATGCAAGAAATTCTTCTAAAAATGGCTTGTGCGTTTCTTTTTTAGAAGAGTATATTTCTGAATCGCAGTTTCATGTAAAGACCTCTTCTATAGTTGATAAACAGGGTAAAAAGTATATTCCTTTTTCATATTCTACTAGTTCTATACAAAATATATGCCTTGTGAAGAAATGGGGGTTTTATTCATCATTAAAAGTTTTAGAGCTAAAAATGACTCTTTAATGTAAATTTAAGACTAAAATCAAACTAAAAAGATCTGGTGACTTACAGCATATGAGAAATATATTCCGTAACCAAATATGCATGGTATTTGATATTAAAACCATTGTTTTGTTCTGAGTTTTTGCAACTTTTTCAGTTCCCGGTTAAATTTTGGCGGCCATCTTGGATATTGAGCTAAAAATAGCTTTCGCATCAATATTCAGATTGGAACCAAACATTTTTTTAAACTCCTTTAACATATAAACACAAAAGAATATATGATTTGCTTTCATCAAAAAACTTTCACGGAATCCCATAAGCTCCTTGACTAAGACTTCTCTTGAATGTTTTTCAATAAGCAATTTCTTTATTACTATTTTTGCATATTTCATACACTAAGACATTCATGTCAAGGTCAAAGTGAGTCTTGAAAATATTTGTGCGATTGAACAACTGCAGAGGAAGCTATCAAGAGAGGTTGACATTTAACTTCTTCTTAAATTACGACCTTCACTTTCATTACTTTTTAAGTTTATTTGATAATTTGCGGCGGGGGATTATGTAACCTTAGTGACTATGCTTTTTCTTGCTGTGAGGGGTTGGTGGGGGTAGCCTTTTTAAAGCATTCATTTGTCATGTCCGAAGATCCAGGTTCGATTCATCACATGGGTACAATATATGAAGCCCATTTCTGTTGTCCCTTGCTGTGAAATTGCTGGAATATTGCTACAATTCGTGTAAAACCATACTCACTCACTCAATCTTACTGCAAGAGTGAAGCATTCAGACAATCATTTCTGTTTCTTGTAAATGAAATCTGAGCAAATTCATAGCTCAAAAATGTAAAGACACTCAGGGTTCATCTGCTGAGGTGTCATCAGTTGAAGAAGCACAGAAATATCTTAACCAATTAAAAGATATTATTATGATGTGACTGATAACAGGCTTCTTTGAAAAGTATTGGAGCCTATTATTTGGGTCTTGGCTCCCATATCTTGAAAGAATTTGAGTATCTTTTTTAGGAATTGATGTGAATTTTTGTTGTCAGTTGAGTTAAAAATATACATGCATCAAGTGATCTACATATCCCACAAACCTGTGTTCATACGGGGTTGACACCTTCTGAAGATGCTTTGATTGGTCTTAGACCTAGGGGAACGAGGCTTGTTTAACATCATGCCTCAGTAGTGACTGCCATTTCCACTGACGACCATGTGACTTTTTTTCCTCAGGTATACGAGATATCAAGCGTGAAACAGAACTGGCCTCGTGCTGACTACCTGAAAGACTGGCATGAAGGAGGAGGTATCATGATTATTGGCTACGAAATGTATCGAAACCTTACACAGAGTGCTCGCATCAAGAATAAGAAGTTGAAAGCCATCTTCCAGAAGACTCTTGTTGATCCAGGTTAGAGTCCTTTACCTGCAATACCAGAACACAAGTAGAAGTGAAAGAAATTTGTCTTGACAGAACCTCTGTGTGCGATGTAAACCCATCTTAGATTGTGGGATATTTTTGGTTCCTAGTTGCTCATACTTGTAAGAGCAGAATGTTTTAGGATTAGGTAGTCTCAACTTATCTGTTGTCTGTCCTTCTGCCTTGTGAGTTGTAGTTCATACTGTCAAGTACCGGTGTGATTGTTCAGACTTGATTCTATACAATCGTCTGTGGCATAGCTTGAATATCACGGTCTATAGTGTAAAACCGCTTGAAACCATGGGATTTTTTTGTGCAACCTTTGCTTGACGTGAGAGGCAACAAAATAGATTGAATGGGCAGTCTAGGTAACAGTGGGTGTCATCATACCCTAATGGCTGTAAATATTCTTCACGGGATTATCTGGTCCTGACTTGATTATTGTCCCCCGTCACAATGCGGAACGGGGGACTAAATGTATTCAGCGGTGTCCGTACGTCCCGATTCTTGTTAACGTGATATCTCATGAACTGTTGTACCCAATGTCTTCAAATTTGTTGACAGCCTACATTAGGGGATTACCCAGACACCATTTGATTTTGGTGACTTTGACCTTATTTTCAAGGTCACCACAACACTTTGACCTCTTTTCAAACTTTTAACGCGATATCTCATTTTGTAGATAGTTATGGTGAAAACACCACAACCCATTCGTTCAGTTGTTTGTTTAAAATCATTGTTACATTTTCTCTATCTTTGCTTGTACACAGGTCCTGATCTGGTTGTCTGTGACGAGGGTCATATTTTGAAGAATGATTCATCGGCAATATCACAGGCGCTGAACAAAGTCCGCACAAGACGTCGGGTCGTTCTCACAGGCACACCTTTGCAGAATAATCTGCTGGAATGTATGTGAAGAGATCTTTTTCAAAGTATTTTGATTGTTTCATTGCAGTGTGTGGTTCTTAAAGTCAAGAATCTCTTTTTGCCTACTCTCTATGTCTTGGCCATAAGTTTACAAGTGCATGGTCAGTGCTGGAATAGAAAGTGATGATTACGAAAAAACAAAAGCAGTTTTGATGACATGTTTAAGTTCATTTAATTGAGTAATTTCTCTAACATGAACTATTTAGTGGTTGATTTATGGTTTTCAAATTATCCATAATGATCTATTGTTGCATTGGTTGTAGTTTTCATTCAATATGGCCTGTGAATTCCAGTCTAAGTACCGACAATAGTACTACATCATAATGTTTACATGTGGAATACATAATTCTTCAAAACATCATGCTCTCTTGGATTCCAAGGCTGAAAAAATCTCCAAGTATCCAATGTTTTGAGTTTGTCCATTAAAAGCCGTATCGTAATTTGACAACTTTGATGGTTTTGTAATGTTATTTCCTGAAGGCATGAATTGTTGCTGATGCTGTTAGTTATTGCCTACATATTGCTGGAGTAGTGCCGGTTTTGGCATAAACCTGTGAAGATCCAGGTTAGAAGTGGTCTTAAGCAACCAATGTTGTCATAAGAGGTGACTAACGGGATCGGGTGGATCAGGCTTGCTGATTTGTTGACACATGTCATCATGTCACAATTGTGTGGATAGATGCTCATGCTGTTGATCACTGGATTGTCTGCCATATAGCTGGAATATTGCTGAGTGCGGCATTAAACAACAAACAAAATTGTTTGGGCATTAAACAATATTCACTTCAGTGTTATTAAACATTTGCCACTAAAAACAAGTCGAGGCCTGCCCATTATTAATATTTATATGTCATGACAGATTAACAATAGGAATATGAATGAAACAGGTGTTTATTAGCATTTTTTTGGTACCTAACATGCCTTAGAAGATCTGTGACATTTGGTTTGGTGACTTCAACCGTCATTGCTTTATTTCTGGACAGATCACTGCATGGCCAGCTTTGTGAAACCCAACCTGATGGGTACAAGAAAAGAGTTTCTTAACAGATTCATCAACCCAATCACAAATGGCCAGCATTCAGACTCCACAGCCTTTGACGTGAAAGTGATGGGACGTCGAGCTCATGTCCTGCATGAGATGCTTGCGGGATGTGTTCAGGTAATCATACATCCTACTTCAATGCCCAACATGCTCTGCTGAGAGAACTGAACAATGTAATCTTGTAACACAAACTACTGCTACATATACAGAGGAATGTCGATTGTTTACAAGCATTCATGGTCAATAGAATTGATGTGGGGAGTTTATATAAATACAACATTAAGAAATGGCCCTAACGTACATATGACGTTACACAAATGTAAGGAACCAATTGGTATATGCTGTACCTTCTTACCCGTGAAGATCTGGGTTAGAATTGGTGTTCAGCAACCCATGCTTGTCGTAAGATGTGACTATTGGGATCGGGTGGTCAGTCTCGCTGACTTGGTTGGCACGTCATCGTATCCAAATTGTGTTAGATTGATGTTCGTGCTGTTGATCACTGGATTGTCTGGTCCAGGCTCAATTATTTACAGACTGCTACCATATAGCTGGAATATTGCTGAGTGCAGCGTTAAAAAAACAAACCAACCAAACTATACCTTCTTATTAAGTAAAGCAAGGTCAGGACTTTTGGTGTGTCGCATTTAATTTTCCAGTGTTCTTGGAGAAACCTTGTACTTGGTCCATATGACTGCATCAATTTGGTGGATAACATATTTCATTAAACATAGCATTCTCAGAAATGATTTCAGTGCATCTGTATCAGTCTCCTGCTTTGGTAATGATAATGTCATGCTCTTGTTTACTGTTCTCTTGCATGCAGTCTGTCAGTCAGAAATATGAATATGGTGAAAAACTGTGTAAACCATGGGATATTTAAACAAACTCACCATGGAAACAGTTCATTGTGCTTTGTCAGATCTTCAGTGTGCTATAAAACAACTTTCACTCATGTCTTCATAGACATTGTGGTTTCCAAACTTGCCCACTTTCATTGACTATTGTATTTCAGAGACGAGACTATTCTGCCCTTACCAAGTTCCTGCCACCCAAGTTTGAGTATGTGATATCAGTCCGCCTGTCCCCAGTCCAGATAGATTTGTATGAGAAGTACCTTGACCTGGCAGGCGTTGGTGCAGATGGGGGCCCACCCACTGTCAATAAAGGGGCACGACTCTTCTCCGACTACCAGAACCTCATGAAGATCTGGACTCATCCCTGGGTGTTGAAGCTGGCTGAGATCCGAGCAGAAAACAAGGTTGGTAACTCTACTGGATGTAGACAATGGGTTAACCTTGTGGCATTTGCTCGTCATACAGAAATCCCAGGATTACATTCCCCACGTGAACAAAATGTATAGCCTATCTGTGATACTGTTCAAATAGAGCCCCAAACTGCATGAAGGGATGCTTGCTCAGTTAACAGGGACTTCAATTGTTCACATGGCAATTCTCACCAGACACCGATTTCTCGAAACAGACTTAAGTCTGAGTTTTGACTTAAGTTCGAGTTTTTACTCAAATAGAGAAAATGCATTTAGCAGAATGAACTGAAATTGATTTTAAACTCAAACATACTAGATAATTTGAGTTTGGTGGATGGATTACTTAAGTTGTTTGGGCTTTTTTATTTTAAAAATGCAGTTGAGTTCAAAATTCAGCTGTTTCAAATTGTCAAACTCAGTTTGAAATTTGAGTAAAAACTTAAGTTTGTTTCAAGAAATCGGGGCCTGATGTATCAAGTGAAGATCCAGGTTTAGACTTGCCTTGGTCTTTAGTAACACAATTGTCATAAGAGTTGATTTATGGGATTAGGTGGTACGGCTCATTAATCACAAGATTGACTTGATTATTTATTGATCACTGTCGTATATATAGTATTTTGCTGTTGGTGTTGTTAAAAAGTAAGCAAGCTCTAAAATTCTTGGAAATCAAATGTGCCAATGTTTACAGCCCCTAGGGTCTCATGCCAGGAATCCCAAAACATTTTGCCTGGAGTTCTCAGAGAGATTTCACAGATATATTTACCTTGGTTAGTCCCTGCCCCTCTTTGGTGTACGAATAAAGACGTTGTAATATTAACTACTGATGCATAATCTCTCTGGCGTTCCATGTGTGTTTAATGTCTAACTAGAACCGCAGATATGAAAAAAACTCCACTCAATGAAGTTGTGATAAGTTCTGCTATATGGTGTTGCATTTTTGTGTTACTAGATGAAGTATGATGATAGTGAAGACTCGTTCATCGACAACAGCACTGATGAGGAGTTAGCATCTATGACAGACAACAGCGAGGACAGTCTAATGGCCGTCAGTAAGAGTGACTCTGGGGAGAGTGTGGAGGCGGGGCCTAGCAAGAGGTCTTCTCGGCGTTCTAGGCGGGGGAAGTAAGTCCACATACTCAAATCATCATCACCTGTGAATTTGATATACAAATCCAGAAGCAAAATGTCAAAAATGTTCTTTCTCTGAGGAATTTTGCTTTTCAACATTTGTAGGCCATATAGGTTTTTGATGTAAATCTTTTATCACATTTAGAAGTAAGAAGTAAAACATTGTAGAACTCTAAAATATACAGCTGAGATTGATGAAAACTAATAGTATTACAAGTTTATTATGGAAAGAATCAATTTTAGTCTGAGATATTTTGATGTAAATTGGAATTTGTGAAATTGACAGCAGCTAATGCATGATTGGCTAGGAAGTAGACAAGGAACCTGATAGATAGGAAATAGCTGGTCACAGTATTTATCAATGGATGTTTGTCAACTTCCAGGCCACCTCCAGAAGATAGTGATAAGGAAGAAGTGGTCAAAGACTGGAAGACAAGGTCAAGAGGTGGAGGTGAGAACAATCATGTCATTTAGTAGAATGTAGTCAACACTGCAACCTCCCATGGAGAGTTGTGTCCCTTGAGCCTGGATCTGCTAAACAAGGGTTGGAATCACAGGTTTCCCTGATAGGTTTGTCAGTTCTGTGGATATATGAGGAAAATTCCATGACCTGCATCCCTTTTGACCAAGGGTAATGTGTCACCCAGCTGTATAGGTCTAAGCAGTTTGCATTTATATTTTAGAAATTCATGGTTGATTGGATTGTTGTTTAAAGCCGCACTCAGCAGCAATATTCCAGCTATATGGCAGAGGTCAGTAAATAATCGAATCTGGACCAGACAGTCCAGTGATCAACAGCATGAGCATCCATCTGCAATGCCATTTGACCACCCAATCCTGTTAGTCGCCTCTAACGACAAGCACATCTAGGTGAAGAACACTTCTTACCCGGATCTTCACGGGTCAGAAATTCATGGAATATTTACATGCATGTTGATAGTATGATGAACTTTTTATGTATATGTGGGTAATACATACTAGACTATTGCACGTCTTGCACAAAGCATGGATTGCAATCACAGAATTGTATTAATGCTTGCCAACCTGGTATTGCAGAGGATGGTGATGAAAGGATAGATATAGATGATGGTCCGAAACCAGTGAGCAACGAATGGTGGGCCGAATATGTGAAAGAGGAGGACCAAAGCAATCTGGATCTCAGTGGCAAACTCATTCTTCTCTTTGAGATCCTTCGCATGTGTGAAGAGATAGGAGACAAAGTGTGAGTACTGTTAATGTGTGAGTTGGAATCACATTTAAAAGACAATTTCTGATTATTCACTGGAGACTGTGAATGTGATAGTTCTGTATTCAGTATATGTGTAGGAACCCAACAAAAGTACTAGAATCTGTACTTTACTGAGAAAGTGTTATCCCAAATATAACATGTGTTATGCCTTGACATTCATCCTATAAATGTTACACGAACTGTTGCAGGCTTGTATTTAGCCAGAGTCTGCTTTCGCTGAACATAATTGAGTACTTCCTGGATGTCATCGACAAGAGAGCAGAAGAGGCAGCCACACAGAAGGAGGAAGAGGAGAGGCAGAAGGCAGAAGAAGATAAAGACAAGAAAGATAAAGATGAGAAAGATAAAGATGAGAAAGAAGAGGGAGAGAAAGAAAAGGGAGAGAAAGACCAAAATGGTGACGCCAAAGATGAAGAGAAGAAAGAGGATGATAATGAGGTAAAGATATGATATTCAGTGTTTTAAGCCCAAGTCAAGATCAGATAAATATGTAACAGTGTCAATAAACATACACAACTGTTCAGATATTCTCTTCTGGGACTTGGTGATTATAACCCTAGCTCGTCAAACCAAACACCCATGTTTGATTTCCCATATGGATAAAATGTTTGCACAACAGTATGTATTGCAATTTTGTGGCCACAACTTTGTGGTTCTGAAAAAAAAAGACATGTAAAAGGTGCATGTAACTCAGCTTAAGGATGTTCATCTGTATGTTAATCTCCTACGGAAACTCTGTATGTCCAGAAATTGTTATCTGTGGAGAATTCAAAAATTTGCCACCAGCGAGGGATCGTAGACTGGTCACCTCCTCACTATATCACCAGTCTAAGATCCCCTTGGGGTGATGGTGATTCGGATGAATGTCCTACAATGTTGTACACTGTTACATGAATGATGGAATGTTGCACATTGTTGTCAGGATAAGGATATAAAAACTGGCAGTACTCCAAATATTCCAGATTCCAAATAACCTGTTAGACCATACTCAGTGGAATTGGCGAGGGCGAGTTTGCATGTATCTGCCATTATTAATCTTTGCTTATTAGATATATATGTCGGTTTTGTCTGATTCTGACTATTGAATAAATTAATCAACATGATCTGAGGTGCATATGAGTGGAAAGTCTGAGCGTCTCTTTCAATTTCAGTTTGTTCAGACAGTGTTTGGGAAGACTTGGACAAAGGGGGCTGACTATTTTCGAATGGATGGGTCTACCAGTCCGCAACTCCGCAGTCAGTGGTCAGACCATTTCAATGACCCAGAAAACTTCAGGTGTGTTGCAGTCTCATGAATGTCAAATATTTTACTACCTGTGAAGATCCAGGTTACAACTGGTCTTCAGAAAATGATGCTTGTCATAAGAGGCGACCAACATAATTGGGTGGTCAGACTACATGACTTTGTTGACACGTCATCATATCCCAATGGCGTAGGTCGATGCTCATGCTGTTTTTCACTGGATTGTCTGGTCCAGATTTGTTTACAGACCACCACCATATAGCTGGTCTATTGCTGAGTGCGGCGTTAAACAACAAATATTTTACTGATAGCATATATTCCAGTCTTGTCTTGCAGAAACAGAACATTCATTGGCAGTTACAAATGAAACGTATTCAAGGCTGTGGTTATGATGTTGTGGGTATTTGGTGCCAAGTGAATATTTATGTTGCGTGTTTCATCGTAATACAAGATTTGTTGTAGCAAGATATAAAGCCGACTTGGTGATGTTTTTGTCCCATAGTTTTAGTTTGGGTTATTGATCGATGTCGGTCAGTTTAGCCTAAAGTTTGTTTGATTTGTGACATCTCTTAAAAAGTTATTTGCAGTTCTGTTTCTTCAGATGTTGTATGTTATTTCAGAGCTCGCCTATTTCTGATCTCAACCAAGGCAGGAAGTCTTGGTATTAACCTGGTTGCAGCAAACCGTGTCATCATCTTCGATGCCTCGTGGAACCCCTCACATGACATTCAGTCCATCTTCAGGGTGTACAGATTTGGACAGACTAAACCCTGCTATGTCTACAGGTTCTTGGCTCAGGTAGGTGAAGATGGCTACATGTATATAAATCAACATATTTTGTCCTTATCCTGACTCATGATCTTTTGCTTATCTCACGTTTTCTATGCGAATGTTAGTGGAACACTTGAATCCCTTGTAGTTCCCTAAAACGGAAGTAAAATTTCTTTCACCCATGAGTTGCCTCCCTTTTCCCACGCAAACAGTCATGTGACGTGCCATGCTTGTCACTCCTTCATCGCCCACGCGGATGGTTGGGCGAGCACTGGAGTCACACCTGTAGTAGGTTCAGTTTCGGGCGACAACCTACTTGATGAGGGGAATCCCTTCATCTACACAGATGCGGAGGTCTTATCCTGGGTAGCAGATGGCCTGCTGATATTGTCGTTCACTCACTCACTCCAACCAACCCAACAGAGACGTACTGCATATATGCTGATGACTTCAACTCCAATATGATATCACCTATGAAGCCGATATCTCAAGTACTGGAGAACCTCAAGGCGACCTTCGTAAAGGGCTTAAGGTTAACAGTGCCTTCAGGCGGAAGGGTGGGAGCCTAGTGGTTAAAGCGTTCGCTCGTCACGCCGAAGACCCGGGTTCGATTCCCCACATGGGTACAATGTGTGAATCCCATTTCTGGTGTCCCCCGCCGTGATATTGCTGGAATATTGCTAAAAAGCAGCGTAAAACCATACTCTCTCACTCACTAACAATGCCTTCAAGAATTCTTGGACGGATGTACAGATGATATTATTAACACTCGTCACTCAGCGTGGGGATAAGGAATCTATATCCTGTCAACTAGATTCAACATCGGTATTCTTCAAGATCCAAACAGACATACGTCTCGACAGCCTCCTTCGTCACGCTGGCTTATATTATCCACAGTGGGAATACGTGATAATATCACTGAACAATATTTTACACTTGGAGCAACCCTTATTCAAGAGGTTTATATGAGCGGCGTAGAATTACGCGCACTTGACTCAACCAACTATATCACCAGATTTTATGGAGGCCAACTTGCTACAACACAGGTGACGTCATGCTTTGAAGCTGATTGGTCCAGGACAGACAACGCCTCTTACTGACAGATCAGGCGCCAGCAAGTTTTCTGACTTGTAAACAAACCAGTTGTACGGGGGAATACTTCATCTGCAGCCTTGAAAACAGCATACAACTACGGCCCATTATCATCATGGGAACTAATAGATGTCTAGCCTTGACAGCAGGATAAACGATGTTTATCTTTGAATTTTTCGCTGATAAAAGCCTGTATGAGTACCTGTCCCATTTGATACTACACTGGAACCAGTCTTGCTATAAATAGGCAACGCTTTGATTATGCTGATCAACACAGATCGTCTGCGTATACGAGAAGGGGAGGAATGATGTATCATCACTGCAAATTGCCATTCTTGACAAGGTTGTTGTCATCGCTGAAGCCTATCTCCGAGGATGAGAAGTGCACAAGAAGAAAGAAATGGCGGTGATACCCATTTTGCGGTCGTCTCTGCGATTCGTGGCGTAGTCAAGATAGAGTTATGTCCCTTGCTTGCCTGTTGCAGAAATGAAGGGTATTTTCCCCTTTGGAATTCCTTGGCCCCGGGGACTATTTACATGTGTAACCTACCCCACTGTTGCATCAGCGGAGACTTTGCAGTGCATTCTGCCTAGACAATACAATCTAGACGCATCAACAAGCAGATCAACTCAGATGACAGCTGCAGTTTATGTTTGAACTACTGACGCAGTTATGCCGATGGTTGAGCATCCAGGCGTGTCCACCAGACGCCATCAACATAAGAGCGTGGCAACGACTCCTAGGTCTTCTCACATCGGCTCAGGCTCTCATCCACAGAGGAAGGTACAGTTTTTCAAACCTCATCTCTTCAGTCTGCAGAGTATTGCCATTCCTCCACATCTAAAATCGTACCTACTATGGTGGACTGACAAATTGAATGTCTGCGGCGGAACTTATTTACAAGGGCCAGCATGCAACATTCATGTCTTCGTGGATGCATCACTACAAGGATGAGGAGCGCATTGCAACGAGGACACGGCAGTAGGGAGTTGGTCACAACAGGAGAGACGATTACACATAAATCAGCTGGAATTCAGGGCGGTCATAAACGCAGTTTAACTTTGGGCTCAGCTACTAATGAATCAGTTCTCATGATTCACACAGACAACTAGACAGTAGCCTTCTACATAAATCTACAAGGCTCAACAAGGTCAGCAGACCGCCTCCGTGGGTGTAGTGGTTAGAGCGTCTGACCGGAGAGCGGAAGGTCGTGGGTTCGATCCCCAACCGCGTCATACCAAAAGACGTTAAAATATGGTACTTGTTGGTCCCTGCCTGGCGCTCAGCATTAATGGGTACAACAAGGACTGGTCGGCTCAGAGTCAGTATAATGTGTCTGAGTGGGGTATTCATGCTTCACTGCGGCATGGTATCTCAGTGGGCTAGCACTATAAAACCAGCTTAAGACAGGGCTAGTACAAGCAGCCGCACATACACATACACATACACACACATGCACGTCTTCATATGAGCGAAATATTCTCAAGCACGACGTTAAACCCAATTTCAACTCACCTCACCGCAACAAGGTCAGCACCTCTACTAGAACTGACGTTCCAGCTTTTCAGCTTAGCAGACAACCTCAGCCTGTGGCTTAAGGCATATCACAGAACGTGTTAACCGACGTCCTATCCAGACCACGCCATCCATCAACCACAGAGTGGATGATACACCTGGAGGCATTCCAACTACTGATAGCAGACCAAAGTTGTCCTCTCATAGATTTAATTGCGACACGTTTCAGTCACCAAGTGACAACGTATGTCTCACCAGTACCGGATTCTCAAGCCTGAGTTCTCGATGCACTGTCATTCCCATGGGAAGGACTAAACGCATATGCGTTTCTGCCGCCGGTCCTGTTACCACAAGTACTGCACAAAATAGCACAGACCAGAGTACTACACGTACGTCTGCTTTTGGCCTCGCCCTACTGGCCAGCGTGAACCTGGTTTCCAGACTTAATACAGATCATAGGAGAACCAACAATGCGCCTACCAGACTGGCCGAATCTACTGATCAATCCACACACACGACAGTGCCGCGGCAATCCAACAGGATGCTGACTTCACGTGTGGACCATATTAAGCACTGCTTGAAGAAAAGAGGTTATTCCACGAGAGCAGCTAAAGCAGTCACGATGGCCCGTAAGGCGTTCAACTAGGAACCTCTACGACGATAAATGGAAAAGTTTTGACCAGTTTCCTACGCAGTAAGGATTCTCAGCTGTTAAGGCCTCGCATCCTCATGTAGCAGATTATTTATGTCATCTGAGAGCATCAACCTGACGAAAATATGCCAGAACTACTTGCTCTACTATGCTCCTTCAAGCTGGAAGACCAGCAGAAGAAATTCAGAGCACCAGTCTGGGATCTGAACGTGGTTTTACAACATCTTACGAGTGATGTCTACAAACCACTAGAGTAGACTATCTTCAAGCCACTCATACAGAAAACTCTGTTCCTCCTCGCCTTAGCCACAGCAACTCGGATGTCAGAGATATATGCGCTAAACTTTGGACGAACTAGATTCACTAGGACTTAGATGGGACTTCACTGCAAAGAATCAGTTACTTCGCCAATCGGACAGACAGTTCCATGTCCCAGCACTATCTACGATCCTCGGGAACAGAGGATACTCTGGACTTATCCTTGTGTCCTGTCAGAGCCCTGGAGATATATCTTCAAAAGACTAAAACAAGGAGAAGGAAAAATTGCGCCTATTCATCCCCTTTGTCAGCAGAGACGACAGTAGAAGTCTCAAAGACGACAATATCATTGTGGATGTGAGCCGACAAAGCAGCAGGATTAGAACCTCCAAGAGCTTCCAACCCACACGAAGTCAGAGCACTGAGGTCCACACTCGCTCTGCACGGAAGCTGTTAGATATCAGCTATAATGGAGGGCTGCTTTTGGAAGTCGGACACAGTGTTTGCCAACCTCTACCTCAGAGACATCACCTCTGACAACGTCTCCGACATTCACCAATTGGGCCACTTGTTGTAGCACTACAACTAACGGTCCCACAAAGGCGCTGAGTTGGATTCTCACCCTTTATCACGTTGACTTGTTGATAAATTTTACTACGAAGAAGTTTTAGTTTGAAAGTCCATGCACACAGTCTAGACTAGACTAGCATGAGTGATTAAGACTCTGTACGGGTAAAATTTTACCTGTACATTAAGGGGTCGCAACTCATTTATGATAACGATCTTATCATAATCTATAGGTTGTTATAGATAACTAGTAAAAAGAAGATACTAGTATATCTAAAATCCACATGAATCTAGAAGATTCACTTGTCTGAGCGGGAAGTAAGACAAGATTGTGATCCCCCCGAGTTATAACGAAAGTTCGAAGAATAGGATCTAGGAAGTTCAGTTTCTTGCAGTTTCCATGGGGGATTACAGGACGTATCTAAGGACAGCTGATGAATCCACGAAGTGGCTTGACCCATCACCAATCCGTCGGATTCTATAAGCAAAAAATCATGAGTCAGGATAAGGGAAAATATGTAATTTTTTAAGTAAAATTGATACTTATCCTGACTTATCCTGACTCGTGAGGTCAAGCCCTCCCAACCTCCCAGCAGAAGACACTTAGGGTTTCCCAGCAAACCCAGTTGCATGGGCTTATTCAGGAGAGAGTGGCAAGCATGGCACGTCACATTACTGTTGCACGGGAAAAGGGAGGCAACTAGTGGGTGAGAGAACTTTTACGTCCGCTTTAGGGAACTACAAGGGATTCAAGTGTTCCACTAACATTCGCATAGAAGAAGGAGATAAGCAAAAGATCATGAGTCAGGATAAGTATAAAATATCAATTTTTCTTTAAAAATTACTTGTTTGTTGTTATCATTTGGCAAGTGAATCCTGATTCCTACCAATAGCTCCCTTGGGTATGCTGGTTGTGGTTTTAAGAGAAGACTAAATGGGTTGTGTTGTCCATAGGGCTGCTCAATATAACCGATTTATCGGTTCAGACATGAAAACAATATGTATTGCGATACCCTGATCAAAAAACGGTATTTTGACTTGCATTCAGAAAACTTCGGAAATCCATGGATATTTCCTTGTTTCATTTGTGCCAAATATCATTTACATTTCTATTTTGTCATGATTAAAGGTTGTTGTTAAAGGTTAATCAAGCATAGTTATTTTGTTGCGTTTTTGCTCTATAAATCAAGCTTTAACTAGATTATAAGTAGTTTTTTGTTGAAGAATAATTCTTGCAATATATTGCAATACATATCGCAAAATAGGCTTTTCATCACAATATATCGCAATATGAAAATTCTCTGCAATACCCACCCCTAGTTGTCCGACTCAGTGTCTTGGTTGATTACGCATCATAAACTGATCCTGTGGATGAGTGAATGATATTGATAATATTAATCACTATCTACACAGGGGCGGTGGGGTAGCCTAGTGGTTAAAGCCTTCAACAATCACGCCGAAGACCCGGGTTTGATTCACCACATGGGTACAATGTGTTAAGCCCATTTCTGGTGTCACCCACTGTGTTATTGATTGAATATTGCTAAAACCGGTGTAAAACCATACTCACTCGCTGTCTTCTTACCTTATATAGTTAGTTAACCTGGAAATGACTCATCGCAGGTAATTGTTATGTCCTGCCATCAGGTTGTTTTTTAGTTACAAATTTGTATTGTGTTTGTCAGGGTACTATGGAAGAGAAGATCTATGAACGACAAGTTACAAAACAGTCTCTCTCTCAGCGAGTAGTGGATGAACATCAGATTGACAGACATTTCACTTCAGCTGATCTCGGCGAACTTTACAATTTCAAACCTGAACGCCTTGATGATCCAAATAACCCCAAGACAACCCATGCATTGCCAAAGGTAAGTCATTGAGGATTGATGGCAGAGTAATTTGCTTGTAATGCAAAAAAAGGTTTGGTTCATGTTGGTAAAACTGTACAGATTCATTCATTCTGAACCATAAACAAAGTGCAGCTGTTTTAATTATCGCAAAATGAACAACTTTTGAGATAACGGTTGTTTTGTATCCAGGATGTACTGCTGGCTGAGCTTCTGAAGCACAACAAACAGATCGTCAGGTTCCATGAGCATGACTCCTGCTTGAGAACCGTGAGGACCAAACATTGACGGAGGACGAGAAGAAAGCAGCATGGGAAGAGTATGACAATGAGAGGAAAGGCATTTCCAACAGAGGTACGGAGGGATTACTTTCAATTTGCCAAACTCATTCAAGATCACCTTCTTCTTTTCTAGTGTGGTTTCCCTTTGCAATTGTGAAGCTGAAGCATAAGAATGAATAGCACTGGGTGCTCGATAGATCTATGTTATATGGTGATTTCAGGTAAGTGTTGATCCCAATCATCTATGATAGGAACAAGGATGCTATGCTGACTGGTCAAAAATGGTGACTAAATTTGACTGGGAGTCAGACTGTCTTGGCCGATTGTGTCTCGTAGTATGCTAGCATTCATTCCTGCTATACAGCTGACTAGGCATTAATCAAAGCCGTGTCTTCACGGGTCCAAGATTGTGAAAGAAGTGCTCACTTCCCCAGGTTCAGCAGCGATAAGTTAAAAAAACATGCATGTCACATGGCTGATGACTGACACGACCACTTGTTTGTTGATCTATTTAAGTCTGTACACTACTATGGCATTCACCTGCCTCCTAAGAAGTTGTTTTGTTTTGTTTTTTAAACACAGGCATGTTATAATGCTGATTCTCCTTTCTTCCATAGTGGCCCAGGCCAGCACAGCGTCTGGTGTCGGAATGTTCAGCCCAGACAACGTCCTGCAGATTGTACAGATGGTCAAGATGAGGGTAGGTTTATGTTTGGATGTAAATGTGATGCGAATGCAGGAATTCTCAATACTTGCATGTATGTACGAATTCTGAATAATATGCATGTACTGAACACAATGATTTCTGTGTAAATAAGGAGTTAACTGCTTGTCATGAAAGGTAGCAGCCTTGTTTCAACAGAAGCCAAATACAATTGAATAGAATAGTTGATTCCAGAGACTGACCCCCAAACAACCTATGCTAGTCTTAACATGCAACTTTTATGGATCATACGGCCGTGGATTTTGACATATCAACAACTAGCTCAAATCGAGCTTTGCTTATCTGGTTCACAATTCATTATTTACAGGCCATGATATGACAGGAATATTGCTTTCAATAAACAACATTTACTTAATTACACAGCTGGAATAATGTTTAAAAGGAATTTAAAAACTCACCACTATATAAATCACTCGATAGCTTTGGAAATGCATGCTTGTCCACAAACAAGTAAAAATCTACAGATAGTAAGTAGTCCTTGACTAGTAGCATTTCAGGGCTAAAACCAGACCTGAATGCTTCTATTTTGATACAGATCTTATGTGAATATGAAAAATTGTAATGATAGTAAACATTAAGCCCTTCAAGCAGGCCTAGCTAAATCTCTTTGGAGTACTGAAGTAAGCATTCCACTTATCTTGTCAATTATTTATTGTGAAAATATATATATAGGGTGCTGGCAGCTATGAAACATGTGTTGTATCTGTGATTGTTTGTTGTTTCAGTTCCCCAACCTACCGCCGGACCTGTTCCAGGCGCAGGTTCAGGCCATACTTCAGCAGCAGATCCTCTACCAGCAGTCCATGCAAAACCAGCAGGTCAGTGCAGGCCTTGTCCACACTCTGTTTGACTAGAAACTTGATATAGCAGGGCATGGATATTGCCTAAAGTGATGTCGGGCTCATGGTTACATCCCATCTACAGTGGGAGAGAAGTGAAGTCCATTGGTTTCAAGTGTGACTTCGTGTTTATAGTGGACTTGTGTACATTTGGTCCCATCACTATATGGCTGAAATAATGCTTATGCGACATGAATTTGTATCTCACTCACTCACTCAAATCCCTAGTCACCTGCTCATCTGCTTTATTTCAGATTGAACAGCAGCGGGATGATGGAGATGCATCGACTACAACGGATTCAGAACGACATTCGCACCCAGCAGCGTCAGATCAACGACTTGACCCGCAACAGAATGGCCAATCCCCGTGCAGGTGGTCCGATGGGATCCAGGATGGGCATGCCATTTGGCATGCAACACCGGCCCCCGACCCCACGCGGAGCACTGCGCAGCATTCTCGCAACGCCAAGTGGCAGCAGTGGAAAGAAAGATGCCTCCAACGCACGCAGTACCACCACAAATAACCCTCCGGTAGTGATAGACCTGTCCAAGTCTTGATAGGAGGGGACCGTAGGCGTGTGTATTGTAGTCATGTAGACATGACCTTTGTCGGCACTTGTCTGCTGGCAGAAAGGACTGGGTAGAACTAGAATCTGGACTGGCACAAGGGCCTGATCTCGGACTGGCCGGTGAAGTGTTGCTGCAGATGCAGAGTTCGGCTTGGAAAACCATAACATATACAAGGCTTGCAAAAACTTTCACTAGCTTATGTTATTCGTCTGGTGCAGTTTTGATGAGCCAGTGTTTTCAACTTGCTGTGGTTTAAAGTAAACTTGTTGTTATCATGTTGTTACCAAGTCTGCTGCTGTCGTTATTGTACGTTAACAAAGAGAACAGTAATGTGGAGAGATGTACTGCTGGGTGGACCACTGGTGTATGTGGCCCAATGGGAAGCAGGACCTGAACCAGACCGGGACGAAGCTCATGTACAAATGGAGATGTAACATTTAATCTTAGAGAGCAAGTGTGTGTGGTGATTGCTTCGTAATATCATGTTTGTTTCTTTGTAAGATGCCTATCGTCAGATTTGACCAAGAGTTGCTAGGGGAAACAGATGTTTTAATTCTTTTCCTTCATGTTTCAATTTTAAAAGCACATCATAAATCAGCTCTGTGTCAGTAGTGAACCTTTTTCTCTCTTTTTTTCTTCTTTTTTTTTTTTTTGCTTTTTTAAGTATTTGCAGTCTTATATTTTCATCCCAGCTAATGTATAAATACTCATAATGTTAATTGTAGAGTTAGAAGCAAGAATTTTCTTAAACATGTTTCTAATTTTATAGTGTTAAATTATGGTAATTATTGACCAATTCAAATCTGAACCCTCATACGGGTCAATGACTCATGCTACAGACTCAGATGTATATCACATGGGTACAACATGTGACGCAAGTTCTTGGTGTCCTCAACTTGAATATTGATAAAAATAATGCTTTCTTCCTCATTCACTCTGAATGCTGAAAGACATGCCAGTGTACAGTGTTTCAATTCAGATAGTTCTCTAACAGTAACATGAAGGTCTCTGTATCTTGTATGATAGTGTTTCAACATTTACCCAAAGTAACATCATCTGTGTGTAATAGTGCATGTCTCCCTTCTGGTTTCCTTACATGGGACTTGGACAGCGTTAAAATGGTACCAATAGTCATATGAGACACTTTAATGGTGGTGAGACTCAATGACTTGGTTGATTGCTTGTCCTCACACCACAACCTTGTGGATTGTTGGTCATGATATCAACCACTTGTTTGTCCGACCCATCCTTGATGATGCCATCATATACAGGAATATTGTTGAGTGTGACATTAAGAAACTTAAACAATGCCCTTACATTTACACTGACTGTGATATGACTGAAGTACTGTCCAGAGCAATACTAAATCAAATCACTGGTAGGCAACTTTCTATATGTGAGTACACAGATAACATTAAATAATTTAGGGCGGAGGGGTAGCCTAGTGGTTAAAGCATTTGCTTGTCACGAGGATGACCTGGGTTTGATTTTCCACATGGATACAATGTGTGAAGCCCATTAATTGTGTTCCTGCCATGATATTGCTGGAATATTGCTAAAAGTGGCATTGAACTACACTCACTCACTCATTCACTCAATTGAGGAACGAGGGATGTACCATTGGAGAAATACAAATCGTTCAACATTGGATCTAAGTAAGTGTTCCTAAGTTGTAAGCTACAGTGCTAAGGCTGTATGCAAGCGTGCATAGGTTTTATTCAGATTCATAACCCACATGGATTTTGTTGGAATGAAGTGTATGCCTGTACTTATTGTTTAGAGACAGCAATATTTTCAGTTTAAGTTGGACTGAGCTAGCACTAAATCAGTTGTTCAATATTGAAAAGCAAACTTACATGAACCTTTGGTGCTCTTTGACTCGAGTCTTTCAGACATGAAGTAAATGATAATTTGTTGACGGAGTAGGCTGTTGTTGGCAACTTGAACCAAGACTATACTGCTTTCAACACAATATTTTAGCAATTCAATGTCCATTTAATTTGTTTTTCATTTTTAGCATTTCTCTTACACTTTGTATTGTGCAGGTTCCTATAAAGCGGACAACTATGACCTGTGTAGCGGTAGTGATGAGATTGAAAATAGGACATTTCCGGACACCGATTTCATTCAAATGATCTGCTTTTTAAATTGCATGTTATGAAGGAATAGTATTGTCAGTCAAAGGGCCCTCGTATGTTAAGGATTTGGGATTTTTGTCTTTTTAACTTAAGGGCCCTTGTATGTAGAGAGTTTGGCATTTCGTTCTGTTTTAATTCCAATGTTTTGTATTCTTTGTACACCACTTCCTCAAGAAGTCTTAATACATATCTGACAATATTGATAATTGGTGTTTTTTATGCAATTGCGTTTTCATTCATACTTCAGTCAGTGGTTAAGAGACAGACATCTGTACTCTCCTTTTCAATTTAATTTGGTATATTCCATTATTTTAAACAAGTATCAATCGCTTAGTATTTGAAATGTGTGAGAGTGGTTGTTATCGTGCAAACAGTCTATTTATTTTCAACACCTGTATATAGTCATGAACCTGTTGTATGTATCAGCATTTGTGCATGCTTCGACATAGAAACAGTCTTTCATACCATCCATGGTCGTATGCTTTATAATGTTTATCACTAATGTTTGTATCACAGAAAGTATTTTTGCCATGTTGACCATCTATCATGTAAGTGTAATAATATTAAGTTGTCAGGAACATGTGTTTCAAAAGTTCATATTACAGTGTTATCTAAATAAGTTGAATTTCCTTTTTGTTCATTTTTCACTGGAAAGAGAAATGAATGACCAACAAGGAGAGGAAATTTTGTGGTTCAGCTAGTCTATATTACGTTTAGTAGGGTATGGTTACCAGATTTTGACATGAATTGGTTTGAAAATACCTAAATTATATGCATCTCCATGCTTATTTTGCTAAAACTTGATTGACCTGTGTTGGTGTGTTCAGGCTCTCATTCCAAACATTGAACCGACTGACAGTCTGGGACTTCATGTGTAACGACATCTGTCTGAAGATAAAAAGATTAAGCGAAAACCTTCTTTGTTCTGTTTTATACCATTGTTGATCGTTCTGTCACAGATTTTGGTGGTACAATGAGATGCCTCATTGACAAAGTTGCCGAAAAGGCTCACAGTTGGAAGTCAAGAATACCTCCCTGCAATTACAGGACCACTTTGCTAGATATTTTGGCTGTGGCCAGGTTCTGCATGCAGTGACTCCTTACAAGATCTGTTTGAGGCATGGGAGATGAACCATCCATACAGCCTCAAAAATGCCAAAATCAGAGGTCACACTGTTAACTGCATATCGAATAGGGATCTGGTCCGTTCGCAAAAACTCAGATGCTCAGCTTACAATATCAATCACTGGGTTATCAGTTCAGACTGGAATATATACTGCCCTCATAAAACTGGAATGTTGCTAAGAGAAGCCTTGGAGAGATTCATCTGGATGAGTTTGCCACTATGCTAAATATCAAACTAAATGAGTCTGCACCACCTGCCAAAGATGGTGTTGGTCCTTGTTGCTCCAGTTCCTGGATTTTGTTGGGTTTCTGGGTGGCAAAAGTGTCTTGGGTGACTAAAAGTCAATCTCTGCAAATCATCACTGTATTGGCCGGTCCAGATTCGATTATTTGCAGGATAGCACACACAAACGAGGATCCCATGCAGACAAGCTGCAGAAATGCTCGTGCTGCTGCAAAAATTATACTAAGCAGCAAAAAAACCCGTCAGTTTGGAATTTTCTTGCGCAGAAACGGATAAATGTAAACTCATTTAATGTTTTGATTGTATATTTTTTACAACATCTCCAACTTCACCTGAGCAAAGACATTCCCTCCCAAACTCAGAATGGAACCCAGGAAATGGTCTCAAAAACGCAACCCGATCTCGGAGATGGTACGGTGTTCTCCATGTTTTTCATGCAACTCATGCTGCATGTGCTGTTCACAAGGACCAGCCCTATAAAATACACCCCCAAACCTGGTTAAAACATTCACATTACGTCAGCAGGATGCTGCGACTCACTATTGCTCAGAGGAACCAGGCGCTAGGAAGACTTGAAGCTGGCCACACTGCACAAGCCGTTGCCAATCACTTCCAGGTCAACGTTCGGACCATCTACAGGCTGCAGCAACGTTTCCGGGCCACCAACACCACAAATGATCGCCCCCGTACTGGCAGACCAAGGGTGACGACAAGAGCGCCATGTTGTGCAACAGCATGTACAGAATCCCTTCGTGCAGGCATCCAAAACAGCACGCCAGACAGTGGGAACACACGGAAGACCAATCAGTACTGATACAGTACCCGACGTCTTAACAGCAGGGACCTCCATTGCCGTAGACCTTACCGTGGACCTATCCTCATCCCTCGTCATCGGCGTGAACGTCTACAGTTTGCCCTACAACACCAAAACTGGCCATACAGACAATGGAGAACTGTTCTGTTCACAGATGAGAGTCGGTACTGCGTATCAACTGCAGATGGCAGAACAAGAATATGGCGACCACGTGGGCATTTTACTTAGGCCAATGTGTTATGGAAAGAGACTCATGGGGATTTGCAAGCATCATGTTATGGGGTGGAATAGGCCTGAACCAGAGAGTGGGTCCTGTGGTGTTCCAGAACCTTAGTCCAGGTAGAGGAGGCGGCATCACAGCGGTGCGCTACATCGACCAAGCTCTCAGACCCCACGTCTTACCACGTTTCGCACGTCACCGGAACAACATTTCCAGCATGATAACGCCCGGACCCATACTGCCAGAGCTACACGGGACTTCCTACAGCAGAGCGGTGTCAACATTATGCACTGGCCAGCCCTTAGTCCTAATTTAAACCCAATTGAACATCTTTGGGATAAAATTCAGAGGAGACTGAATAATGTCATACCAAGGCCGAACACAGCCGATTTCTTGAGCCAGGCCTTTTTCAGAGTGTGGTTCAAGGTGCCAGTGGCCTTCATCAATCGATTGGTGCACTCCCTGCATAGACGCTGTGCTGCAGTTATTGCCGCTCGTGGTGGTCACACTAGATACTGAAGTCAAGAGTCTGAATGGACTGCAAACGTTCACGTAATGTCTTGGAATTGTGCTGAGTTATTCACTGATGTGTCAAGATATTGTACACCAAAAATGTTTCTGTAGTGATTTGATTACAGTGCCTATCTAATTTTGAATTCGTACTGACGTGGTTTTTTTGCTGCTGAGTATATATAACGGTTCCTCAATGATTCTCAGAAGGATCTAGGTGCAAGCTCTATATGTAAGTTTGGTTACAGGTCGAATCAGACTGGGTGCGTAGTTCATGATGGATGCGGTGATCCCGAGGCCACGTGACGTATTTACTGGCGGACCCAGTCTTGGTGGATGAGATGAACTTTATTCGGTAATGCATTATAGTGTAGGGACTCTATGATCAATTATTTCGAGTGTGTTGGAGATGACAAGAACTTGGAGACAATGGTCAGCATGCGCGCATTTTGCAAGCCACTCTACAAGCAGACTGTCATTGGCGATTTCTTTAAACATGTATAGTTCTTACTAAGTATGTTCTTGTCTCGGTATGTCAAAGGGAAGTAACTCTACTGTATAGTCCGTTTGGGTTCAAATGAGAAAGACAAATGATTTAATAACTCGAAAATGGAACAGCGCCTGACTTGCTGGGTCATCTCACCTGGCGCACATAATGTTCGTTTCAGTATAGTCCATACGTTTCACTATCCGATGAAAGACGGAAGTGTTCGAATTATGTTCCAGTTGTATCCCAGATGGCATTCAGACGTTGGCCCAACGTCCGAATGCTATCTGGGATGGTGGCGCTCTGTAAATAATCGTGTCTTGACCGGACAATCCAGTGATCAACAGCTTGAGCATCGATCTACGCAATTGGGATACGATGACTATGTCAACCACGTCAGAGGGCCTGACCACCCGATCCCTGTAGGCGCCTCTTCCGAAAAGCATGGGTTACTGAAGACAAATTCTAACCCGGATCTTCACGGTCGTTAACTATAGTAATGTGAGAGAGTCAGATTTCTTTAACCTCTTGTGCGTAACATGTTGGGTATATCTGGTTACGATTTAAACTGCGCCTCTTCACACTTTACATAGTTCGATTATGAAGTATGCATTTGTACTGACATGTGGACATACACTGTCGTGTCTTTCAAGACACAATTATGTGACTAATTAAGCTATATTTGTAACATTTGCTTTCCTCAACTTTATCATGGACCATATATCAGAGGGTGTTTATAACTGAATATTTAATGTGTTCAGAACTGATTGACTACCAAATAGCATTAATCACCCAATTAATTCAGTTGTTGCATTCCACAACGCAACATTGATAGCCCATGGGTTAGTACTACTGATCCTGTACAGATTGAGAGTGGCTTGCTCGCATATATAGGTAGATTATCATACTGAGTGGGTATTAGTCCGGAGGCAATCGGATTTCTTCGGTTCACATTTAGAGCCGAGAACTTTCATACCTGCTTTACTTCTGTATGCGAGCCGTGGTTTTGTGCAACACTCGCTCCGACTGTCGGTGTATACAAGATCTCTCGCTGTTGGCGACATCAAGGTACGGGGTCTGTTTTGTTAACGTTTTTATAAAGCAGTTCTTCAAGACATTTAGAAATGGGACGAACATGAATACATGACACGTTTTACGGATAACAACTTTTTCCTTTTTTATCACGACGTTTCAGAGCTAATTCATGCTCCTTAATCATTCACCTATATCGTGTCATGTATTCATTTTTAGAAAACAGTTCTGCGTGTCACTCAAGATTCTCTCAAGCTCATTGGAAGAATGGCAGCGTTGGCATATAAAAACCCGTTGTTATAATACAAGTGACGAAGGAAATTGTGATCTTATATATGACTGATAATTTACAATTCATTATATTGACATGTTTATGGCTCTACAGATTGGCTGATCTACACCTGAACAGGAGACCTGTCAAGGCACACAGGTTCTGAGTGTATTTGGACACAAGTCTTTCATGTCAAAGTGCTTTAAATCTCTATGCGAAAGGAATGAAATGTGTCAGGTAGATTTCTACAAATAATATACATATAACTGGAGTAACCCATTTTCTGATAACAGCTTTCATTGCAGACACATCTCTTTTGTCCTGAAGTACTGTCGGAAATAGAAAAAAAACCGTGCTTTTAGGCTGTTAGTCTGTATCCCTAAAATTGACAAATTTACGAATAGCATATATCGAAATAACCCACATCGGCCCAACTGGGCATTCAGTGGGATGCGTAATAGTATATCCAGAAACGCAAGTTTACTCGTAAAATCGGGCAAAAAATACGAATAGCTGCTCAAAACAATAGATCGGACTATAGATGTCAATTAGATGTCATCAGCCAGGTATGATGACGGACCGTCGACTCACCTGGCATGAAATGCACGTCCTACCTTACAAGCACAAGGGGTCATCTCAAAGATATATTTTTTTCACGTGTGTTGAATATGTCTCATCTATTGATCAGAGAGTTTATGTTGAGATACGTAAAAGGGTATGATACCCATGGAAAAACTTAAATCAGCCATCGTATTAAATGTCTCCCAATATACAGGTGGCATAACCACCCGAAGATCGACAGGACTGGATATTATTTGTAAATTGTTGTGACATGCCGTTTGCTTCCCCTAAAGGATTATCTTATCTCAGCTTATAAACCTCCAGTGACGTCACTCTATTGTTCGAGCGAGGCAGTATTTCGTGTCTTATCCCGATGCCCCGTCGATTAGGGGCATTACTTCAATATCGTTCCTCTGCCCGGGGATTTTCTGAGGAATAGACCTTGACTTTGAATTATTACTTGTTTTAAAGATTGATGCGACTTTGTCTTGCCATCACTGAATGCAATCGTATAACATTATTGAAAACTTCCAACATGTAGTGCCGACACCCGGTTTCGAACCAGCAACCCTTCGCTTACTAGCTTCAAGGTTTTATCCACTAGGCTACGAAGGATCGCTATGAAAGAAAGATTGTTTGTCTGTCGGCATGACGGGTAGTACGGGCAGCGCACGCGTAGCGCGTGCAGACCGCGTGCATTGCGCGTGCAAGGCGAGGCGTCGGCTGCCAGTCTCATCCCAGTTGCTTTCAACAGTAAATACTAAATATTGAAATTATATCTAAAGTATATCTTCGGTCGGTTTATAAGTTGGATAAAGCATGGCCCTCGGGCGTTACGAAGAAGTAAGGATGTTTTCCCGAGGGCCGTTTTTTTTTCCTCGAGGGAAAACATCCTTACTTCTTCGTTATGCCCGCGGGTCATGCTTTATCTTATACTTATATCTCTATCCCCCAGCCCGATCCCAACCACTGTCTGCGACAACCGTCCTGGATTTACTTTTGAGACGACCCCTCCTACCTGGTCTTTTTATAGTGATAGTGAGACTCCATGGCAGCTACATCCTTCATGCATAGTTTCAGTATTACAGTTATTTTTACGTCAGCTATCGTTTATAATGAAGCTTAGTTTAATTTGAAAATGGACATTTAAAAGTTGTCCTTTGTAATACAAGATCATCGCACACTAATTTGCATAAAGTCATGGCCTTTTCCAAATAAGTCGCTTTGGACTTGGACAAAAAACGCATTTCTCATTTCTGCACTAATCTCTCCTCAGTAAAGTCCTTTTTCTACGTTTCCTATCTCCCTACCACTGAGACTGTAGGTAGGCCGAACTTAGTTTAACAGATATTTCACACTTACAGATATTAACTGCATAAATTGTAGATATCAATGCGAAAACAAAAGTTTTTTCTATTTCCGACAGTACTTTAGTTTTATCATTTGTATTCATATGCGACCTTGGAGTTGAATTATAGAACATGGATCTGAAAAACAAAGGGCATTCTGTTATGATCTCGGTCCGTGCTTAATGGAATATAAACACCATGACGTATTGGTAATTGAGGGTGATCTTTGCAAGGTACTAGTTTAAAGTCATCGTGTAAACAATCAGAAAATATGCAATCCGTGCCGCGTTCACACGAGTTTGTCTTCAGATAAAAGCAAGTGTAACCTGCACGAGACAGTCGTGCATATAACGTGCTTCACGTGCATCTCGCTTTCAGGTCATAACGAGGCTTCTGCTGAAGGATATCGCTGTCATGAGGGCTGGAGAGTTGTTGCTGATGTCCGCCATATTCTCTTCGATCAAACGTGTTAGTATGCTGGATTTCCAAATTGTTCACATAATAAGTACTATAGCTCACCTGGCACTTTGTTCTTCTTGGTGAAATAGTACTATAGCTCACCTGGCACTTTGTTCGTCTTGGTGAAATAGTACTATAGCTCACCTGGCACTTTGTTCTTCTTGGTAAAATAGTACTATAGCTCACCTGGCACTTTGTTCTTCCTGGTGAAATAGTGCTATAGCTCACCTGGCACTTTGTTCTTCCTGGTGAAATAGTACTATAGCTCACCTGGCACTTTGTTCTTCCTGGTGAAATAGCACAAATGCTCACCTAGTACTTTGTTCTTCCTAATCAAATAGCACAATACCTCACCTGGCACATTGTTCTTCTTGACCAAATAGCACATTACCTCACCTGGCACTTTGTTCTTCTTGGTGAAATAGTACTTTAGCTCACCTGGCACTTTGTTCTTCTTGGTAAAATAGTACTATAGCTCACCTGGCACTTTGTTCTTCCTGGTGAAATAGTGCTATAGCTCACCTGGCACTTTGTTCTTCCTGGTGAAATAGTACTATAGCTCACCTGGCACTTTGTTCTTCCTGGTGAAATAGCACAAATACTCACCTAGTACTTTGTTCTTCCTGGTGAAATAGTACTATAGCTCATCTGGCACTTTGTTCTTCCTGGTGAAATAGTACTATAGCTCACCTGGCACTTTGTTCTTCCTGGTGAAATAGCACAAATGCTCACCTAGTACTTTGTTCTTCTTGACCAAATAGCACATCACCTCACCTGGTACTTTGTTCTTCCTGATTAAATAGCATAATAGGTCACCTGGTACATTGTTCTTCTTGATCAAATAACACAATAGCTCACCTGGCACTTTGCTCTTCTTGGTCAAATAGCACAATATCTCACCTGGTTCTTTTTTCTTCCTGATTAAATAGCATAATAGGTCACCTGGTACATTGTTCTTCTTGATCAAATAGCATAATAGCTCACCTGGTACTTTGGAAATAACACGATAATTGATGACACCATGTCTTTCCTGATCAAAAAGTACAACAGTTCACCGAGCACCATGTGCAACCTGACCAAATCCAGTTTTCCTGGGTTCCTTGAATATCTGAGCCAGGGTCCGCTGCTTGTAGGTTCGACTCCCGTGGTGATCCCGAGTATCATCCTTGGTCTGCATCCACGATTACCGCGGCTTTCACTCTAAACAGGGGCGGTGGGGTGGTCCAATGATGAAAGCGTTCGCTCGTCACACCGAAGACCCGAGTTCGATTCCCCACATGGGTACAATGTGGGAAGTACATTTCTGGTGTCCCCCTGCCGTGATATTGCTGGAATATTGCTAAAAGCGGCGTAAAACAAAACTCTCTCACTCACTCTAAACATTCCGCCTTCCACTTAGACACGGACCGAAACGAGGACAAGAAACAATACTTTTTGTATGATCTGAGCTGACACGACGTAATGCGAACCACTGATTGAAGACGGCCTTAAACCCATCTCACTCACTTATATCCATCTATATGTGAAAAGTGAAATACTATGAATAATCTGTATCCTTAATACTCGTGTATAGAGAATATACAAACATGTAAAAATCTGTATTGTGTGTTATACTGTGTGTCATTTGGTATGCATGTGTGTGTGTGACAGTTTTATCTTGTTAAAACACTGAATCCTTCATCATGTTTTTTTCTATTCTCCAAGAGGGCAAGGAATTCCCTGGTTCCTTTGTCCCTACATGTAACAAGGATTCAGTAATAAAATATCAATTACAAAAACAAAACAAAAACATGTAAAAATCAGTAAATAAATTACAAAAAAAACCCGTTATGGTTGTCGCGAAGTAAAAACTAATCCATGTCTATACTTTTTAGCCGTCATTTTGCGTTTGGTTCGAACTTCGGAAAACTCGAAGTAGTTACGTAGGTCGCTCAACCTCGATACAGCGGTGTTTGTAATTTGTTTATGAAATATCATTTTCCAAGGTTATAATGTTTGTTGCAATGAACTTCGGTAAATATGTTCAAAGACCACAACAATTGCAGGGACATCAGCCAGTGCCGCAGATGAAGACCCATGTCCAGTTGAGAAGTATATCCGCGCCACATACACACCTCAGAATCTGACATCGCCTGGCTTTCCTGGAAATTATGTCAGGTTAGCTGTGCATTCACTGATCAACGTCCACTGTGGAGGTGGGGCAATCTAGTAGTTAAATTGGTCTGTCTGTCTGTCTGTTTGTCTGTCTGTCTGTTTGTCTGTCTGCTTCTTTAAATGCAAACTCTGTTAGGGATCTTTTTACGACCTCGAAGTGTTTTCAGTTTAACAGGGGACACTCATCCCTGTATTGGTCTTCATGGACCTATGCTTCTCGTAAGAGGCGACTAACGGGATCGGGTGGTCAGGCTCGCTGGTGGTTTATGCATGTCATTGTAACCCAATTGCGTAGATCGATGCTCATGATGTCAATCACTGACCGTCTACTCTAGGTTCGATTGTTTACAGACCGCCCTCACAGAGCTGGAAAATACCGAATGCACGCGTTGTAACGCAACGAACAAACGTATTCGCTGACAAGAGTCACTAATCGTAAACTCACCACTTTTGCTGCTGCTTTACATGTATGCAGAAAAAAAGTACCTACCTTCGGCAAAGACTGGTTCTTGGTAGTGTTTGCGTTGTGTCATGTTAAAATACTGATAAGAGGACTGGGCTTTCTTCCGCAGATTAACAGAGGTAACGTAACGTGGTTCGACTCTATATATTGTAATTAATTTTTGGGCTTTTAGTTATTTTTGTGAGTTTTCTAGTCATTGGTGGGTTAGGTTTTGTTAATAATTTTAGCATATATTAATTTATAAATATTATTTGGGATGGGGGAACGGGAGGAACTTTAACTGTAACATCTGCATTGTAAGGAATGTACGTTTTATTCTTCAGGCCTTCAGCATGTAAGTGGATCATAGAAAGCAATATTCAAGATGGCGTCATCAAGTTCAAGGTTATCAAGTTTGAGTTGGAGGGGTCGCCATCTTGTTACAGAGATTACCTGGACGTTAGAGACGGTAATGCTAATCTATGTGTGGCCCTTTAATAATTTTAATAACCTTTAATTGGGTTAAATGGTTTGTGTAAAATCATTAATATATTCCGACAAGATTTAACTTTTAAGTAGTTCTCGTCACTATAAATAGAAATATCGCTGTTAGTATTAACGAAATGTCTACATATTTTGTAATACTTTCCAGCGAAAATGTATATAATTTGCAATAATGACTGAAACTGCTTAGTTTGCCGTTCAAGAAACATCAGTTTTGTAAGCGAAAGATAAGGTTTCTGACGTTACCGGGGGCAAATGGCATTAGCCATCAAGATATTTGAATGTGTATCAAATTTTGATAGGACATTTTTCAACATTATCCCCTTTTGTTTAATCATCATTAGGACATTCTTTATCGGTATAATATGATCTGTCTGAAACAACGATCGCTGTAGGCCCGTTCTGATTGAGAATCTGAACATTTATACAGGGTTCACAAATAAAATGTCATCATGTTATGATATATTATAACGATTATTCCAATCATGGTGTTCGCCCACAGGTCCCTGGCGACTGAGTCCCAAGCTGCTGGGATGGTGTGGAGTCAAGCCCCAGGGGAAGACATTTAAGACGTCGGGCAAGACGGCGACAGTGCTGTTCCAAGCAGTGACTCACGGCCAAGCCAAGCCTGGCTTCCATATCCAATACTGGCAAGCTAAGAACGGTAAGATATTGCCTATACGCTATAGCCCACAAGATACCTCATGCTCGTCCTTGCAGCTGCCATATCCAGTACTGGCAAGCTAAGAACGGTAAGATATTGCCTATACGCTATAGATCACAAGATACCTAATGCTCGTCCTTGTAGCTGCCATGTCCAGTACTGGCAAGCTGAGAACGGTAAGGTGTTGCCTATATGCTAGAGCCCACAAGATACCTCATGCTCGTCCTTGTAGCTGCCATATCCAGTACTTGCAAGCTAAGAACGGTAAGATATTGCCTATACGCTAGAGCCCACAAGATACCTCATGCTCGTCCTTGCAGCTGCCATATCCAGTACTGGCAAGCTATGAACGGTAAGATATTGCCTATACGCTATAGCCCACAAGATACCTCATGCTCGTCCTTGCAGCTGCCATATCCAGTACTGGCAAGCTATGAACGGTAAGATATTGCCTATACGCTATAGCCCACAAGATACCTCATGCTCGTCCTTGCAGCTGCCATATCCAGTACTGGCAAGCTAAGAACGGTACAGGTATTGCCTATACGCTATAGCCCACAAGATACCTCATGCTGGTCCTTGCAGCTGCCATATCCAGTACTGGCAAGCTAAGGTGTTGCCTATACGCTATAGCCCACAAGATACCGCATGCTCGTCCTTGCAGCTGCCATATCCAGTACTGACAAGCTAAGAACGGTACAGGTATTGCCTATATGCTATAGCCCACTAAGATACCTTATATGCTCACAAGATACCTCATGCTCGTCCTTGCAGCTGCCATATCCAGTACTGGCAAGCTAAGAACGGTAAGGTGTTGCTTATACGCTATAGCCCACAAGATACCTCATGCTGGTCCTTGCAGCTGCCATATCCAGTACTGGCAAGCAAAGAACGGTAAGGTGTTGCCTATACGCTATACCTCATGCTCAACTAGAATGGGTTAACTTTTCAGGTATACTCTGGACCATACCAGCATAGGTTGCTGGGCATCAATTATAACCCGAAACCCAACGAGTTCCCATTTGAGTGACCTCATACCAGGCTTTGGAGTGTTCGGGACACATTCCCAGTGCCCCAGTGGGGGTAGATTAATTTCAAAGATAATTGGGAAGTTATTTGGTTGGTCTATTATATAAGATGATATATGATAGTACATATGATCTCATCTTTGTCCTTTTCCCGACCCGTGAAGATCCGGGTTAGAATTGATCTTCAGTGACTCATGCTTGTGGTAAGAGGCGACTAACGGGATCGGGTGGTCAGGCTCGCTGACTTGGTTGACACATGTCATCGTATCCCAACTGCGTAGATTGATGTTCATTCTGTTGATCCCTGGATTGTCTGGTCCAGACTCGATTATTTACAGACTGCCGCCACATAGCTGGAAGATTGCTGAGTGCGGCGTAAAACTAAACTCACTCACTTTTTCCCCGATGAAGCTGCTTGTTGTCCAGTATAGACATGGTCACGAGTTGGCCACACATGTGCAGGATTCACTGGATACTTGCATTGGATACTTTTGTGTACTGTTGAATGCCCATCTTACCCCTATACCGTATTTGTTACAGATATTCTCCCAGACGGAGAGGCGAAATACACAGTGGCTAACTTCATCCTTGGAGGAATATTTGGTGTGATTCTCCTCGTCGTCTTTGTTACGCTTCTGTTTCTTGTCATCGTTCGCAACCTAAGATACACTCGAGAACGGCATTTACAGCACATCAGAATATACTCATAAATACCCAGGTCAGAAAATACCCCTACTCATGCCAAAAGCGAAATGAGAATATACTCATGACCAGATCGACGTATCAGAAGATAATCATAACCAAATCGACACATCAGAATATATTCATACCCAAAATCAACACTTCAGATTATACATAAGAATATTTTCCAAGCCAGATCGACACATCAGGATGTCCTCGACTCATGTGATTTAATCAAACCCAGATCACGTAGCTGAGAATACTCATGGATCGACACATCAGAATACTCATGGCTAGATCGACACATCAGAACATAGTATTAGAGCCCGATCTACACATCAGAATATACTCATAGATTGATCGACTAATCAGGTTTCATCATTACCAGATCGACATATCAGAGGACATGGAGAGAATCCGGGAACATGCCATTTAATCATGACTTAAAAGCATCCGCGTCTTCGAAAAATGAAGCTTCCACAGATTTCCGCCTTATATGTAAATTGTACATTTATCATTGTTATTTATTAAACATCGTTGGCTTTCTTATTCAATCTGTATTACTTGCATTATGAAATGCTTAATGTGTCGGGGTTCATCAAACTCAACTGCCTCCGTGGTTAGAGCGTCCGCCCGGAGAGCGGAAGGTCGCGGGTTTGATTCCCGACCGCCTCATACCAAAAGACGTTAACATATATATGGCACTTGTTGTTCCCTGCCTGGCGCTCGGCGTTAATGGGTACAAGGACTGGTCGGCTTGGAGTCAGTATAATGTGTCTGAGAAATCATGCTTAACTTCGGTATAGTGTCTCAGTAATCTAGCATTATGAAACCAGCTTACGTCTGGGCTAGTACAAGCAGCCACACCTACACACGCATGCACGTCGTCATATGAGCGAAATATTGGTAAGTACGACGTTTAACCCCATTTCACCCCACCTCATAAGTCTCGATTATCCAGTTCATCACATAACCGTTTTATCGTATTATAATACAGACATTATACGCTTGAATGCCGAAGGGTTCGTTATTTATAGACGGTTTGTTGGAGACAGTTTGTAGTGCATTGTTTGTAGACTATGGCGTCAGTTCTTCTTAAATGCAAGTAAAATAGAGAGATATATACAGACAAACTTTATAAACAACTTCTTTATTCAGATGATGCGACGTTTCGATACAGATCTTGTATCGTTGTCATGCTAAGTTTGTCCGTATATTACTCTCCAATTTCTGCCACCTAAAGAAGTTAAAATAGCGACGGGGGACATGGCTGAGGGGGATCGAGGGGTCAGGCTACCCCGACTTGGTTCATGCAATTGGTTCAATGCTCGTGATGTCAATCACTTGATTGCCGGTCCAGACTGACATCATACAGCTGAATATTGCCAAGTGCAACAAACAAATTGTCAGGTTTTGCCTGAATATTCTGTTTGTGTGAAAATAAACGTAAACATAACGGCTTTATTAGCAATAAAATGGTACGGAATCACGAGCAATTATTCAGAAACGGGCATATTGCAACTGCCATAAAAGCAGTCCCAGGTGCCGGGGACGACGTTTCGCGCTCACCCGCTTTGTGGAATGGTTCTCTGAGCGACAAACATGATTCAACTCACAGTAGGCTATACACGATACGTTTAGAAGTGAACATTTATCAATTGGACATTGTATATTCGGCAGTTATGTACCTCTGTGTTACCTGTGATGCTTGTCGTAAGAGACGACTAACGGGATCAGGTGGTCAGGCTCGCTGATTTGGTTGACACATGACGCATGCCGAATGCGTAGATCGATGCTCATGCTGTTGATCACTAGATTGCCTGATCCAGACTCGATTATTAACAGAACGCCGCCACATAACTGGAACATTGCTGGGTGCGGCGTTAAACAACAAACCAACCAAAAATACTGTTTGAGTGAGAAACTGGGTTTGACAGACTAATATCTAGTCCCTGGAGTGAAATATTATAACAGTCACTGTATTCATATTGTTAAAGGGGCAGTGGGGTAGCCTAGTTGTTAAAGCGTGGCTCGTCACGCCGAAGACCCGGGTTCGAATCCCCACATGGGTACAATGAGTGAAGCCCATTTCTGGTGTCCCCCGCCGTGATATTGCTGGAATATTGCTAAAAGCGGCGTAAAACCAAACTCAGTCAGTCATATTGTTAAAAGTATGCTAATAACTTAGAACGTAACATCAGTAATCCCATTTTCCATTACTGACACAACATGGTTTAGATTCTGCGCGAAAAATAAAATATGATCATAGTTACAATCATACATCGGGACTTTTAAGACAAAGATATCTTATAAACACTTAACAAATTATAATGCTTATACTATTTATTCATTTACCTGTAAGTCGCAAGAACCTAACAGAGACCAGAACAACGATTATTTAACAAGATCTCTTAATGCCTTAATCTAACACATAAATTTAATTCCAAATAATAGATTTAATCATATGCTGTTGTTAAGAAGAACCCAAAAACATTGGGAGGAAGAAAAAAAAAAATGTGCATCGACCGGGAATCGAACCCGGGTCACCCGCGTGGCAGGCGAGTATTCTACCACTAGACCACCGATGCTTACGAATGAAAGGGCGACTTTGTAAAATGTTAAGCTTAAAAGTTTGTGCTTTTGTGTAAATTAGAATAATGTATTTAATTCAAATTATATTCAGTTCATGATGATATTTCAAGTAGCTTCATATCATGGAAACAAAAGAGAAAAAGCAAACGCGTTTAAAAACGTGGGACGCAACGTGGCTCGGTCAACAATGTAACCACGTGTTGTTTGGATCACGTGACAACTGTTCCAAACAAATGTTGCTGCCAGGTTTTGTCGTAACAACTCGACATATGTTTATAGACATTGACACAATATGTTGCAAATGGTGACATTAATTAATAGTGAAAGCGTCTATAAATTAATTGATTCCTTCCTTCGAGTTTTGAGAGTTATGTCCCTTTGATCGACATCGGATTTTATAAGGGTATTTTACTGCCGCATCTGAATAGATCATAAGTCATTGTCCTGAGATAAATTCATATTGCAGAACTGATTAGCACTAAATAGAAAATGCATGACATTAAAATATTAACATAAGAAAATATATATGACACTTTTACACAGGTAAAAATGAGTGGGAAATGGGTTCACAGAGTTGAAGGGTATCTACAGGTAGAATAAGTATATCATACTCTACTATAGCACAACTACAGAAAACTTAAAAGTTATAATGACATAATAAAATTTCCATGTTGGTCATTGTTAAACATTATCAAACACATGTCTTTGTTGGATTGCAATTTTGTGCTTCAACAATCAATGGAAGTTGAATCTCTTTACAATTTATGAAATATTTCATTAAAACCAAATGATAATTTAAGATGCACAATTTCGAATCAGTGCACCAACGTCTCATGTTTAATCTGTCATTGATATCACAAATTAGAGTTTTTGTTATGATTAATTTCTCTTTCACAACATTAGAAACGTGGAAAGCAAAGTTATCAGCTGAATGTCAACCTCAGTCAATATGCCTAATAACATAAAGCATTATAACTTATCATTAATATTCTCCAACAAAAACAAATAAATATATATATAACATGATAGATTTAAAGAAACGTTTTATGTCATCTTTCAATCATGTGTTAATTATGTTTGTTTAATCAGAAAAATCATGACACATTATTTTGTAAACAAAAATTAATAATGATTACATTGAAACAATTATTATAACAGTACCTGATGAACCCAATGTAAAACCAAAGCCCAGTAAAGCTAATGACAAGAAAGTATTAGATTCAAACCTAGTCACCAAAGATGGAGATTCAACTCCAGTGGAATGTAAATGCTCAGCAATTAATTACGTAATTGCTTCCTTGACAATAGAATTATAGCTATGCTGTGTGAACCTGAAACGTTACATTTGTATTACTGTAACTACACACAGTTCCATCTTACAACCCTGTGTACTAGTAGACGTAGTAGAGGTTGTCCTGACAGCGAGACAAGCCTCATCAATCCCAGCTGGGTTTTACACGACAGAAACATGATGGTGGAAGGCTGTAAGTGGAGTCACACATGTTCTGCCTCAGTCAGGAATGTTCCAGTATCTCATTGTCATGTATGATGTCACACACAGACTACTGGAGCTGCTGCTGCTGCTACTGCTGCTGCTCTGGAAATCAGCCAAATCTTGCAAGTGATTTTCTTCGTGTTCGACTTCTGCATCTGCTGCCATGACCGGTAACTTTAGCACGTCGGCAAGGATGATCATCTTTGATGAAACTGATTTAAATGCATCATTCATCTTCGACTAATGGGATCGGGTGGTCAGGCTCGCTGACTTGGTTGACACGTGTCATTGTATCCCAATTGCCTAGATTGATGAATATGCTGTTCATCACTGGATTGTCTGGACTCGAATATTTACAAACTGCTGTCATGTAGCTGGGATATTGCTGAGTGCGGCGTTAAACAACAAACAAACTTTTTTCAACATTTTTCTCCCCTGCTACCTCTTATGTTAGTGGGGGTAGCCTAGAGGTTAAAGTGTTGGCTCGTCACGCTGAAGACCCGGGTTCGAATCCCCACATGGGTACAATGTGTGAAGCCTGTTTCTGGTGTCCCCAGCCGTGATGTTGCTGGAATATTGCTAAAAGCGGCGTAAAACCAAACTCAGTCAGTCAGTCAGTCTTATGTTAGTGGTATTTTTACTTTCCGAGTCTCAGAATTGGGTGATTTTTCAGACTCATCATGTAATGGTTGACATCTTATGTCTGTATTAATTTGCATTACGATCTATAATTCTGACAGTCTTATTTCTTAAACACCCGCAAAGATCCGGGTTAGAATTGATCTTCAGTAACCCATGCTTGTAAGAGGCGACTAACGGGATCGGGTGGTCAGGCTCACTGACTTGGTTGACACATGTCATCGTATCCCAATTGCGTAGAACGATGCTCATGCTATTGATCAGTCGATTGTCTGGTCCACACTTGATTATTTACAGACCATACAGCTGGAATATTGCTGAGTGTGGCAGAAAACTAAGCTCGCTTGCTTGTTAAAATGCATGTTCAGAAAATTTGACATTCTTGCTCAGAATTAACTGCAAAGAAAGTAGCATAATTTTTTTCATGATGGTATTATAACTGTTTTGTTAAATTTTGGATCCTTGTGACGTGTTGCTGGCTCCCAAATTGTTTTTGGTACCAAGACAAAAAGGAAAATGTTGAACTGTGAGGTCTGAAAGCATTCCCTACCAACGTATTCCATAGGCTGTGTCCCCAATGAGGCTTGTGCTCATCTACAGGCAGAACCATAGACTTTTAAACTTAACTAACCAAGTTTTTCTTGATCTAAAACTCTAGCAATTTGTACTTGTCAAGTAAATTTGGTTAATAAACTGGGAACCTGCAACAGCAGCATTATTGGACCTGGCAAGTTGACAACCACGACATCGGTTTTTATGCAGAACTCAAGTTTCAGTCAGTTTCTTATCTGTGATGGAGACGTCCTATTGTCAAATAACATCATTGCTGATGTGATGTCATCAACATACTTTGCCCTTGTCATTGTTTTAGCTTTACTATTTTTATCATAACTTATTACCTTTTTTGTTGATTTGTCAATTTGGTATTTTGTGATATATGTAGAAAATAAATTGTTTTGTATCCATAGTATGCAAACTGAAGGATGTGCCATAAAAAGTCATGTTACATAAATTCATTTCTGGCTTTTCCCCCAGCCTTTGCATGTTTGTATAATGAAGATATGATTATTTCACCTTTGAACAGAGTGAGTGAGTGAGTATGGTTTCATGCCGCTGATAGCAATATTACAGCAATATCATGGTGGGGGCCACCAGAAATGGGCTTTACATAGTTGTACCCACATGTGGAATCGAACCTGGGTCTTCAGCATGACAGACAAGACACTTCAATCCTTATGCTACCCCATCACCCCCTTAGAACAGACAGACAGACACAGACACACACACACCGTATTTAAACTCTGTCATAAGAGGTGACCAACTGGATCTGTAGATTTTGGTTTTATGTTTAACACCGACAGCCTGTGACAATGCTCATACTATCAATCACTGGTTTGTCTGGCCCAGACACCTTAATTCACTGGCCATCATCCAAGGTGGAATCTTGCAAAGTGCAGTATAAACCACGATGACAGCAACCTGTTGCCACATTAGAGTGAGAGAAAGGTGTCGGCTAAATGGTCGACCACAGGGACTTGTGAACATGGACAGTTCCTTGGCCGAGTTTCCACCTCCATGTCTTCCTATCCAGCACTGTGGACAAGCGCTTACGCATCTCCCATCAATCATGACAGACACAACAGGATTTTATTAAATATTTATTTGGCATTTTATTTCATCATGTTGAATTATATTTCTGACCACAGATACAGATGACACGGCCTGTTCGCACCTTGCATTCAGATATCAAACAAACCAATAACAATTACAATACAACTGAATGACAACTGTACAAGTACTTGATACACTGTCAGTCTTTGGCAGCTTGCATAGGAATCGAGAATAAGGCCATAGCAGACTAAAGCCTTCCTTTAGCACATAGTAGTTTGCAGTCATCATGAGACTAATGATGTTCACAAAATTTTATTTCATTTAAATATTTTATGATTATTTCAATTTCAGATACTTTTTATCGCCACAAGGTTCAGCCAGAACAAAAACCTGATTGTCATGAGTATCATTTTTTGGTCTCTTGATCTGCACCCTACTGGTGAAAGTGGTAAACATAGACTGACTTCAACTCAACTCAAAGACTTAACACTGCCATTATGCAGAAATATATGGAAATATTGGGATAACATATAGATAACAACATGCCGATATTGTTGATCTATGTGTTACCAATATCTTCATGGAAGATCAGTGCCTGAACATTCATTGCATGACGATGATTAACTGGCTTCAGGTCTGGCAGTCAGCCAATAACATAGCTTCCACAGAATTGCATTAACACCAGCACTTAAAACATAACAATAAACTGTCAATGATTCTGTGTAACTGACAATGTAATTGATAATCTCAATACAAAGAATTGACGACATGTTATCTATGGAGTATGGAATGTGAAGGGAGACAACTCTTTTACCACTCATTGCAACTGAATGGAAGGCATTTGTGTACATCGTCGTCATGACAATAAAACATGGACAATGTGAGTATATACAAGGGTGATGACACAAAAATCTGCCTGTCCACTGTTTCCATGGTGACACAAATAAGAATGGGAACAAGTGACTTCTTCAAGACGCTGATTTCAAAACCACTTCTCACAAAGGTTTAGTAGACATGTAATAGATTCTTAAGTAATAATGACATCATTTTTTCACAAAGACAAGTTGCATAACCATACATAGTTGCTGTAATATCCAATTGCGGTACATCGATTTCAGCCCTTCATCATCAGCTGAGAGCAGAGTTTTGGAAGAATCTCACTGTTTGGATTCGGTTATATGGCAATGAGAATGTTATCCACATAAAACGTCACCCATCTTGCAAATTGTTGGAGATACTGGCAAGAACTTCGATTCAGGTGATGATAATTTACATCTCCAAACAACACACACCGATCAGCAAATTCACCTGCCTTTAGACCTGACGTGATTGCTGTACACGAGTAAAATATCAGGATTGTAAAAGCAGCTTTTCTGTACACAATAAAAATATCAAACACACTCATACAATCAACCATACAATTTGTATCAAAAATAAATAGTGCTCCTTGTGGTGTTGCCATGGAAACTACACTAAGTGATGTTTAACTTCCATTTCTCTGGAGGCATAACCTTCAAGTGATTTGAAACTAGCAAAAGATGCACATGGGGCACAAAAATGGCGATTACACAAATGAAGAAATGATTTACAAGATGAACAACATCTCTTACAAATTACGTTTGATTTGTCAGAGTAATTTTTCTGCAATTTAAGATTTGCGTCACTTTTTGCTAAGCTACGTCTCATTAATCTCATTTTCTACTCAAACTCGTCTTAATAACATGTACATAAACATGCACAACTTTAAACATCATCCATTTCTCATAGACATTGCCAAACACCAGATGCCTAATGTGTTGTCTAATTCAATTACATAACTGAGTGGACATTATCAAATATTTTTGTTATCACAAACAGTTGTTTGTCATTCCAATGACGCACTTACACTTACATTTATGCCAAGTAGTTTTAAGGAAAGTTGTATTTGTTTATCTACGCATTACAGACGAGATTCATTGGTTTGCCTCCACTTAAGCAGATGTGCTTGTGTCTTCTACAGAATAGTTGGCCTTGCTGACTAAATACAAATCTCAATGTTCCAGTCCAATCTAATACTTAACATCACAAGACAATATTTACATCTGATGTGAATCCTGTATTTCGTATCTGGAACAATGGTTATTTGCCTTATACGGGTCAACAAAGCCTTCTCTACAATTTGCTCTTTGGTGCAGAACATAAATAATCACCATTGTTAAAATAAAACTTAATTATTTACAATTGAAAAATGGTGGTTCAAAAGTGAACATGTACATATTGCTAAACGACACCATAGAAAAGGATATCTACATTTTGATACTCGATGCTGAGGTAAAATATTTCAGTTGAATCTGAAATCCATTGTGTACCATGGAGGATTCTCGATAATGAAGATCTCACAAATGACTGCTGTAGTAACAAATGAGAATTAATAGCCATTGATTAACTAATACCTAAACATATTCTTCATAATCATTTCCTGGAACTCCTTCAAGTGCTTGTTTCTCATTGTCTGGCAACAAGGCAATGTCTTTAAACACTCCTACAAGTTTATCAAAGTTCGGACCCCAATTCAAAAGGGCATCAAAATTGAATGCCCCATTTGGTTTTTGATTGGGGTTGAAGGGATTGTCCTCTGACGAGGCAACAGTACTTGTGAAGGAATCACCATTAGAATCCATACCATCTGAATTCACACGACTATCAATGGGGTTTTCGTCAGTTTCGTGTACATCAGGCAACTTGGAGAATATCAAACCCTGGTCAAAGTCTGTTCTGGTCCTGTCGTTTTCATACTCGAACTCGGAGCAAGTGAAGGAATCATTGGCTCCACTGTCCTCAGAACTGGAGTCTGGCGGCTCCAACAACACTCCACTATCCAGCTGTTCCTGTAGCTTCATGCTACGATATTTATGGTCACCACTGGAGGAAGACAAGGCTTCAGCCATGCTGACAGGTGCAGTATTGTCTGGTCGGGCATTTAGCCGGTTAATCTCTTCCACAGTCAGGCCTTTCTCCCCATGCTTCCTGCTATGTCTGGCAGGCTTGTGTAGATGGGAAGTAGGGATCCTGGGAGCTGATGAGCTGGAGCTGCTGTGGCTGTGATGGCTCCCGAGAGAATGTGCCGAGTTGCTCCGGCTGTGAGCCTGCGACAACGGGGTGTTTCTCATCTGAAGCTGGCCAAGAGGACTGGCCCTGTGATTATTTTGAAGAGGACTATTCCTCATCACAGCCTGTGCTGAGTTGGGTCTCCGCACATTTAGAACATGTGGACTGTTCCTTGCGGGTACTGACACAGCAGACCCAGTCATGGAGCTAGGATTTTGGTAGCCATTTCGAGGTTTGAGCATGCTTGGACTAACCGATCCAGGACGGCCACCAGGGCCAAATGTCAATGGGCTCTCACCATGGCGACCATACGGAGCCTTCTGCTGATATGAATGAGGGTTAGGTCTGAATTTTGGCCCCTGGCCATTGCGTAAATGTCTGTAATGCAGTGCCACGTCTATATCTGAGGGAGCAATACTGCTGGCATTTTCCAGATCGTAACACTCCGGGATATTCTCATCATATGGCTGCATGTGGCTGACACTGCCTCCATTTTCAACAATCACAGTACCATCTTCTAATTCCACTGGCTGAGGAAGAGCTCGGCCCATCGTGTTGGATCCAATCAAATCTGGTTTTGTCGAAAGTGAGCTACTCTTCTGGAGCATCAGTTCATTGGTGATGTGGTTACCGATGATCATCTCCTCATTTGGGTTCTCCACATATCCTGAGTCTGGGTTCTCCTGAGACCCACCCAGACTGTGGCCCAGGTTGCCATTTGTCTTCGTCTGACTCTTCAGACACGTTTTCCGGCACATTCCACGTCGCTTGAAGATGATGAACACAATGACGATGGCGATTATAAGCAGAGTGAAGAAACAGATGACAATGATGACTCCGATCTGGAGACCTCCACCGTTGTCGGGGGCTGCAATACAGGCTATCGCCTCTCCATCTACACTACACGTCTGCCCACCTCCGCAGGGGTTGTTCTCACACAGGGCTTGACAACCAGTCTCAACACTTCCGGACACCGTGATCTCGTACCGACCATCAGATCCTCCGAATGGAAGTTTCTCATCATCAATGAAGAAGGAGGAGATACAACCATCAAAACCTGAAAACAAAACAGCCAAGTTGTTAGTTGGTGGAAAGATTTTAACAGTAATTATACACATAAAGATGCAGTGATTTAAACTATCCATCTAATATTTACTTTACAGTGAAAACAAGGACAATAGCCAACTATACTGGACAAAATATGTTAGGGATATTGGTATTTTTATGATTGATATTTTATCAGTGTGTCAATGAATAAATAGATCATTATTCATAATTTCAAAATTTACATATATCCCTAACTATTTTTGTCCAGTATATATTATAGTAACAAAATGTTTCACCACCACCTAAGTGCCATAATCTGAACAGAGTCATGTCCCTTTGTCATGCCAGAATCTGCTGATGAGTGAACACTGAACTTGTCTGGTCATGACCCTAGCAACTGGTAAATGTCTACAATCTAAGTGACTCTGCGCCAGAGTAAGCTGACAAGCCATAACATCAATCAATGACATCATAAGCAAACATTACCTGGTATTTCGGAACCACTTGGAACAGTTCTTTCTCCACTTAATTTCATTTCTGATACATCAACGGAAGAAAAGTCGAAGGATGATCCAAAATTCTTGGACTCGGTGGTAGTTTTGTCCACTTTGAGGATGAAGTTGCTTCCTGATCCAGTCACCGTCACGTTGTGCCACTCGCCATCTGTCACAGTTGCACCCTCAATTGACAGTGGGTCATTCACATCACCATTCATCAGGACAAACTTTATAGTGCTGTCCTCAATCTGAAAAATAGAGTGTTTTCAAGGTGAATTTATAAAACTTTCAAGAGACATTATAATGGGTATTTCAGACTTTCTGAAACTACTGTCCAAATGGAAATACACTTAAAATCTTGTAAAAAATATGTGAATACATTTCCACAAGTCTAAATCATCTTTCCTCTGAAACTTTTAAAACATATTGACAAATGAAGCATTGAGAACATATGACTTACCCAGATATAGGATTTCTTGTTGTTGATGGCAACATACAACAGATTTCCACTGGATTTTGTTGTTCGGAATCGAAGGAAAACCTTTGAACTGTCCAATGCTCGTTTTCTCCGAGACGTCACTTCTGACACTTTTGTGTCTCTGCGATAACTGTCCCGAACCTTGTACTCCACTGTTGCATCAGGTCCAAACCCAAATGGCTTCCATTCTACAAATACAACCAAAAGCACACTGATAACAAAATATCAAATAGGACAAGTTCAGATCTAAAAGCGCCAATCTGAATACTGTCTGTAAATATCTTGGACAACAGCTATATAGAGGCGATCTGTACATAATCAAGTTTGGAGCAGACAATCCAGTGATCAACAGCATGAACATCTTTCTACGCAACTGGGATACGATGACGTGTCAACAAAGTCAGCGAGCCTGTCCACCCGATCCCGTTAGTCGACTCTTACGACAAGCATGAGTTGCTGAAGACCAATTCTAACCAAAATCTTCACGTGCCACTGAAGAAGTAAATCTTATTCATGTTTCATCTATTGCAACTGAAAACATTACTGTTACCTTCTTCACACTTGTCTCCCATGTAATCCTTTCTGCACTGACACCTGGTGGTCGTCCACTCGTCCACACACCGACCGCCATTCTGACATGACATCAAAGCACACTGGCCTCCTGGGCTTGACCTCGGACACTTGTCAGCGACTCCCTGCGCGATGAAGGGCCCCTCTGACGTCCAGCATGTCAATGCCATTCACCTCGAAGCTGTGAGCACACCCGACGAAATCATGTGACTGCACATCCCCAGCGTATTGGAGAATGTTGCTGATGTTGGGAACTCCTCCAATGTTGAGTGCATCAACTGACTCCACAACCTTTGACCTGGAAGTAGTAAACAATTAATGAACACAGCGTGTTGGTTGCATATACTGGAAATTATCATCTATCTTAGAACACGAAGGCCATGCACTTGTCTCGTCACTTTGGGGACAAAATATTTTACAATGAAATTCTAATAAATTTGAAATTTACCGAAGATATTGCATTTCTGCTAACTGCTCTCAAAGAGTGATGGAAAGTGATGAAAGATTTAGAACCTGCATCCTTCATGTTCCCGGACTCATAACACCTCACCCAAACACAACCCATTCAAAATGGACCCTTACACAAGTGTGCATGTTTTTATTTAGACCAACACTAAGTCTCTGAATATGTATATATACATATACTGATAGTAACAAATAAACCCATTTAAACTGAAAAGGAGCCCTAGTGAGTTGGGAGAACCTGAGAAAATCTAGACTTGCTTCATTTAAGGCCTTAGCATTGCAGGGAGGGCAAGGCATTAGGGGAAATAATGTGGTTCAGGGACTGTGACACAGACTAGGGTTTAGTGAGCCCCTTGCCTTCACCAATCCAGTCAGTTTTATCCCTGTTGAGTGAAGATGTATAGTTTTCAGAGAGAATTTGTCAATTCCTCTAATTCGTGTTTAAATTTACAGCCTTGTTGGTTTCCTATTTCACAGTGGTGACATTTTTCTGCCAATGACAAGAGGAAGAGAAAAGTTTGTGGGTGCAAATACACTTTAATTTAAAAATTATGCTTTTAATATAAAAACAAAAACACATCCACACCAATAAATGCCAATTCTTCATAAAAATTTCAACACTGTTTATGCTGAAGGAGAGTAAACATTTTAGTTTAAATGCTAAAAGCTTTACTTTTTTAAGACACTGTTAAAATTTAATGCTAGTTATATTCCAAATGACATCCAGCTAAGTAATAAATGACTCATGGGGGAAAAAGAATGTATGAGGCACTGAGATATAAAGACAATATTTTCCTTAAATGTCCTTATCCAATCTGACAGAAGATTAGTGTAAACTGACAATTTATCCTTTACAAATCATCCTTAAATCTTTCACCACTGAAGTAACACGAAGAGACAGACAGCTGAATCCTATTTGACAAAGTTTTTGTCTCCATGAGGTAATATTACTATTTCCTTAGCAATATCTTAGCAATACCTTCACATATCATTTTCATGTTGGAACTGAAATCTGTCATCTAAGTGCAAAGTGAATGCTCTCGACATTTTTCCACACTTACGTAACCTGACAAATATTTTAATCATTTAAACATTTAAAGATGAACTAAACAAACCATCCATTCAAAAAAGATTGGCCGACACCTGTGTCAAATCCAACTCCTTATCTCCAGCATCATGTAACTAACAGTGTGCCAAGGCTTCTAATTGGCTAACTGTCATAAAACAATTCAGGGCAATTTTGGGATCCAAAGTACATGCCAAAAGTTTTTTCAGCTCCAGGTACCAAAGTACAATGATCCTTAAACTGGAAAATCAACTGTTTACTTTTCCACACTGAAGCATCTGATGGGAGTCCCACACATCTGCACGTACCAACACACCCATAATATTATTTACGCACGTTGCACACTTCAGCTTGATTTAGAATATACAAATTGTTCAAACAGAAATATTTAAACTTTTTCAACATTTTGGTGAATTCACAGCTAAAAATTTAATTTTCTCGTTACACGACCAGCTCCGCCTGGTGTGTGTTTGTGTCAGATAGGGCTCACCTGTCATGAGCGGCTTATATTTTGAATTCTTGGCAAACATTATCCTGCGGCTAGATCAAACGCGTAGTGAGTGATGACTATAAAACTAGACAGAAGAAATTATAGCTTGCGATAGATGTGAAAAACGTTCACTTTTTGCGTCTTATGTCAAGGATGTACATGCACAGTGCACCGTGTGAGAATACTCCATCAGCGCCCTAATCTACAGGAAGTGACTCCCGGTCGACACACACTGTCATCTAGCTCTTAGTCAAGAATGTTTCACCAGAGTTTTCAGCCCTTTGAAGGCGCCAAACGGTTTTGAGATACTTGCTGTTGTGTTGAATTATATTCGAACCTAATCTGTCTACACTTTCTTCTGTAGTAATGAACTTTGTTAGGAAAGTAGTACACAGCTTCTGTGTTAGGAAGCAGTCACGTCTCTCACAAAGTAACAGCATGCATCCCTGGAATTTCAGAACACACAACTACTAGCAATTCCAAGCATCTTAGTATCTGTACTCCCCAGGGAGTTGAGAATAGCACATGAATGAAAACTGATCGATTGACGATGTTAAAAACAGTCAAGCCATAATAGTGCCATGGCTGTCGTTATTATACAAAACTTAAACAAAACCTTAGCTTTAGTTGTTTCATATCTGAAAACATACGAAACTAATGTAATCACTCTTACAAGGTCAAACTTAAGATTTGGTTGTGGGGCACTTACCTGGGTGTGGCATTTCATCTATTCAATTTATTAGGGCATGAAAGGGTAAGAAAAGTGGAACTTTTTACAGAATTGTTCTTTAACTGCTATATAATTTCAATATATACAAAGGCAGTAAAGCTCTCTTCAATCCAAAGATACATAACAGCGGAATGGAGGTTGACATTTTATGTATGTCACTGTATGATCTCTAATTTCCTATCTGAGATAACAGAAGTGTTCACGTGATCACAACATAATGAGATGTCTCGACAGAGCCCCTTGCTGGTTAATACTCACTTCTAAGTTCTATCCAGGGACAAACAGAAGAAACATCAAACAAGGCAATACCCACTGATATGGAAATTGTATTGAAGTGAATAATTAAGAATTGACATAAATATGTTTTTGCGTTTATGGAGGCATAAACGTAAAACCGGAATCCACACTGTGTAAAATTGCATAGTATCTGATGTTAAACAAAATCTACACTTCAACTGCACTGAGAGGTATCACATGTCTCAATATGCTTATGATATATGCTGAGCTTTTGTCAGTAATTTGTGACACTATGACGGTTGCTGTTCTCAACATCCAAAATGCAAGTTAAAGTAATAAAGTTTATATCAACTAGAAATATACAATCTAGTGAGCTGAGCAAATTTGGAAATTAAATGTTTCAAGTTTGTAAGAAGATGAAAAAAATTAATCTGATAAATTTACAAGCATTTCCCTTATGTAGACATGGAAAATGAGAGCTAAAATATCCCAGTCAATCAAATCGACATACGATACAACTCGTGAAGAGGGAAAAAAAGTTCAGATCAATGTTATTTTTACAACATTTCTATATTTTTGCATGAAAACCAAAACATCCAACTACAACACACTGATATGAGAACATTAATCCCAGCTATCTACAATCAACAAGAAAAAGTCCATTAAAACATCAACTTGAAAAATTTCTTTCATAACTAAATGTATCATTAATCTTACATGCTAACGTATCTAATCATTTTAAAACTTTTCATTTACAAACTAATGTAGTCATTATATAATTCTGATACTATTTACATGACACTAATTGCATGCATGCTAAAGAAAGGCATACATGAACATATTTTTGGGGCTGAAATAGCTTTCTGACAGCTCAAATCCTAAATCGTTCCCAGTTGGACAAGCAACACCAAACCAGTAGTTTGTCACAAAGTTTTAAACACGAAGTATTCAACTTCCTCAAGGGCTGCATAGCAGCAGGATTAGTTTTCCAAATTTAACTCGGAAACAATCCTAAACAAATAAATATTGAAAGGCACAAACAACTGCAGAGGAAGACACAATATCTATTTGCAGAATATTTCAAAATTTGGCACTGTATTGTCAGAAAAACGTTCCGAGATGAACGGAGCTCTCCTAGTCGCAGCTTGCCACAGTGAAAGGCCTGTGAACCTCATCCGCCCTTTGAACAAGCAGAGAAAAGTCCACTTAAATTCGGGATAAGGAAAAAGCGAGGTTCCTGGGATTTAGATCAGGGAAGAAGAGAATACATAACACGAGACGCGGTGGGATTAGGGACATCGGAAACCATGAGTAATTCGCTTTTCACTAATCAGAATGACAGATAACAGTCCTTGGCTGTGTGAGGTTGCATTCAAGTTGTGAAGGAATGCCATATTGGTCATGGGATATGGTCAATCCTGAATCATCCAACTGTTGTCTTATGTCCTGGAGAGGTCAAACTTAATTGACACTGGAGTCAAGATGGTCATTTTAATACTCACACAATGGATTGCACTACTTAACCCAACTAGAAATCTTATCTCAGTCAAATAATTTTAGCTGGTAGTAAACATTTACAGAAAATTAACAGAAGTAATTGTTTAAATGTTACATTGTGGTATTTAGTTAAAAGAACTGGGTGGTAGCCAAGTGGTTACAGCATCAAATCAGAATGCCAAAGTCTTGGGTTCGATTCCCCACATGGGTACAATGTGTTTCTGGTGTCACCCGCCATGAAATTGCTACAATATTGCTAAAAGTGGCATAAAACTAAACTAAACTCACTCACTTGCTTGCTATGGATTTGACCAAAGATAAAATTACAAATCCCTTAAGTTAGTTCAATGAGGTGTCATCTTACACATAATCAGACATTTTGGATGACATAAAAGCTCCAATGTAAACATATCATTCCTTGATAAATGGATAAAAAATCTCCACGATGGACAAAATATGACAAAAATAATTCCCAAAATAGGACAAGCAGCACGTTAGCGAACGTATGGTCATGAATATTTATGAGATTATGGCAGTGAGTACCGCTAATGACTAGTCGGATCCAGTAAACTGTGGACACAGATCTTTAACTTAAACAAAGCAATAGCCAGCAGTCATAGTGACAAGGTGGCAGGGTCGACATCAGCACACAACGTCTCCCCTCGCTGTTTGCCAGTGTCAGGGAAGACAAGTAATCCACTAGTCAAGACCTATGCTGAAATATCGGGACAAGTATTTGGTAACAAATACGTGAGAAAAATCAAACAGTCATGATTCATACGAATGGGATGTTTC